ACATTATGAGAATATTACAGTTAGATACAGGAAAAAATAAGCTAGAAAAAGGCCCCAATTCCCTACTTGTACAGTAACTAAATATCTTGTTTTTAGCTCCAGATTAGTAATTACTAATTTTGCATACTTTACAGTTCATAGAGAACATTTAGATGCATTAATTCAACTGATACCTAGAACAGAGTGTGGCAGACAGAACAATTGCCCATAAAGATATCACAAAGGGTGAAGCTGAAACTCAAATCTATCTTCTATTTGTAGTAGCAGCATTGTAAAGCAGGGCTGTAGGTTTTACACCATTAAGGATCTTAACATGTTTCTAAGATCCAGTCTGCCCACCATCATTACCCTCTCCTGACAACTTGGGTTCCCCTTGTCATCCAAAGACAGAACAGAAGCTATCATGTTCTTATATGACCCCATCCTCAATCCCAGTTTACTGGTTCAAGGCCAATCTGAGTTCTTTTCCTCAAGGAAAAAGATGCCACTCTTTTTCAGCTTGGGGCTGTCGGTAAGCATGCTTCTGCCTGCACAGAAAGCTGGTATGCAGTGATAATGAAGTCATCACAGAAGGATGGATGAGAAAGCCCTGAAGCCCTTTCATTTACTTTGATTTACTTTCATTTACTTGAAACACTGTAACATAAGTACTGTTGTCCCCTTTTACAGATAAAATCAGCAAAGGTAAGTTACAACATCTTTGTAAATGCACAGCTAAGACTCAAATCCAGTCTTTTCACTATCATTTCCATGGTTCCCCCCCTCCCCTGCCACACTGCGCTACACACCTCTATTTAAGGAGACAAAACTAACACACAAAAACAATTTGAGAGAAAAAGTCTGCCTACAGTCAGGGGCTAAATGCTTTCCACCTCACATAGTTCAGCACTTCAGAGTTTTACAAAGGTGCTTAAGGGGCCATGTAACAGGAAGGGCTGGTGGTGGTGGCAGAGGAAGAAGCGAAGGGAAGGGAAGGGTCTATCTCCATTACACCACAGCAGCTCTGTTCTCATCTCCTTATATACTGAGGTTCTGCAGAAAACTTTATTTGGAGGGTAAAAGGAGGCTGGGCTGATAAAAAATACATTAAGATCTGAAAACCACTTGAATTAAATAGAGCAGTAAATTAGAGAAAGCTTCATAGAAGAAATGGCACGGGGTCTTTTTTCTGAACAGGGCAGGATCTGGACACAGAAAGCAATCTAGAAGGACTAATGTCATGCATAAGAGTGACCTATTTGTTTGTGAAGGAGCACTGCCTAACTACAGCACAAGCTACCAGACAGGGCTCAGGGTTCAGCAAAGGTCAGATAGCTGAGAGTACAATGGCACAAGACAAAGGCATTTAAATAGAATGCAATACACAACAGAGAGTTTCATATTCTCAACTTTGGAAACAAAAAGGTAAAAGTAGTGTTTAAAAAAAGTGAGAATGTCATACAAAGAATGATTTCAAAGGGGAAAAGCATACATATAAACTGGACACTAAGCAAAAGGCTCTTGAAAGGCAATAGTTAAAAGTCCACAAGATCTGAAATTAAAAACAAACAAACAAAAACCTTTAAAAAGACAGATTCCAATCCCAACCTCTGTTGACTATGTGATAAAGGGAGGATCAAAGCCTTCTGAGTATCTATGTCCTTGTCTGTAAAAATGGTATAATACGCACAAATCTCACAAGATCACATATATGTGATAACATATATGAAAGCCAAAGTATTATTCAAATATTGGTTATTGGTGAAAGCAGATTAGGATGACAGTGACCAAAATGAGAAGGGGTAAACTATTTCAAGTGTGACTTCTAAGTAACAGGTATCAGGGTTTGATGTCAGATCAAGCTAAAATAATTAAGTTGTCTGGCCTGGCTGACTGAGAGGAGCAAGTTAGAGATAAGGACAAATTTAATTTGGGGCATGTTTGATGTGACAAGATAATAGACAACACTCAGGAGACTGGGAGCTGCTGCTTGGGAAGATAAATAGTAATTAATGCCAAGAGGCATAGTGATTAAGGACACACATTTACTTTTCATTTATGTTTTTGGGGTCACAGACACAGCCTGACCAACCAGCTCCCCATCTCCTATGTATAATTTTGAGCTGGGAAAGTTACTTAACTGAATCTCTTTATGCGTAAAATGAAGATGATAGTGACTTCAGAATGACTAGTAAAGACTCATTAAAAGTAGTTCTTATTCTGATAACCATTAGCATTATTAGACCAGTGAGCACATGGCGATAAGAACAGAACCTGGGAGGACGTCTAAAATTTCACTCCTTTCTGTTGAGAAACTAAAGAAAAATGCTCCGAGCTAGCTCAGGAAATAGAAATGGGAGTCAACGCATGCACAACTGTTCCACAGACTTCAAGGATAATCCATGGCTTTTCATATTTAAGGCTTAAAAAGAAAATCTCAGACACGTCAAATGACTCGTAAAATAAACCTTAACGTGAGAGTCCGAGAAGGCGTTAAATGCACTAACCACGTTAACTCCCTGAAGAGCACACTTTGCTATAAAGCTCACCCTGCGACTTAGGCAAAAGACACCAAGTGCCTGCCCGAGAGGCAGACGGAGAGTCAGCGTAGGCTGGTTTAAACAGCATCCCGAGGAAATGAGAAGGCGGGGGGCTGGAATCCACCCACCACCGACCCGGGCGGCGAGGAGACTGGGTCGGGCAGCAGATTTCCCGCGGGGAAAGCTGGGTTTTGCACCTGACCGCCGGGGCGACCACCCCTCCTTCCCCCTCGCCCTCCCGGTTGGCACCTTTCCGCTTCTGCCTCATTTCTGCGCTGTCGGAGCTGATGCCACCACGACACTGTAGCTCAGACCACGGAGAAAGTTAACAGCCACAAAGCAACCCCGCCAGTCGTAAAAGGACAGCTACCACACCGTAAAGCTCTTCCCAGAAGTCTGCGCGCACACAGCAGCGCAGTGTCCCCAGGGCGGGGCGGGAAGAAGGGGCGGAGCGAGAGGGGCGGGCGCTAGGGGCGGGGCTCTGGAGGGGCGGGGCTCGGCCGCGGCCCCGCAGGGTCTGTGGGCCCAGGCACGAACTGAGTAGCAGCCTGGGCAGTGCAGCGATGAGGCAGAGCTTCTGCCCCAGGAAGCCTAAGTGAGAGCGAGGGTGGTCCCTGAATGGCGTGTGGGAGCTCATGTGGGAACGCGTGGGGAGACCGCAGGCCCATGTGGTGGAAGCCAGTTCAGAGCCTGGAAGACACCAGGCAGGAATCCAGTAATAACTGTCTGACCTGCAGGCTGTGAGGCCAGTCGGTCACTGTGGTTCCAGAAGAATGGCACATACCCTTCCATTGGTAACCATCGTGAAAGCTGTGGCTGTCTCTCCAGAAAAACACACATGTACATTTTGCAGAGTTTGGAGGCAGGACTTGGGATAGTTTTTCCAAAATCCCATCCAAGATCTCCTTTGTCCGCGGACTACAGGTTAAGAACCCTTTCATTAATAGAGGCGGGGATATGACCCCACTATGACACGACCTGTCCTGTCAATGGTATGGTATCCGTACTTTTTGTCATCTTAAGACCGATGAAAATATTTTCCAAGAGACCAGGCATTTGGGTCTCCAATAGCAGGTTCCAAGGTCTATCCTAAAGAATTCAGGCATCTTTAAAAACACTCAAAACTAGTTTAGTTCTTAAGTCATTTGGGAGCACTTGTGGTTAGGAATAGAGAGTTAACTGTTGAAGCAAAGAAATCGCCGGCAGAGGGAGAGCTGAGCGCGTGTGATATGAATGTCAGCCTGAAAGTGATTTTGCCCAGAGTGGTAACAAGATCCCACACCAACGATGGCATTCATATGGATTTTCTTTGTTTTGAACTTTATATTGGCCCTTCTATGGTTTTCTTGTGGAGGGGGTACATCATCTTGCTAAAAGTTCAAAGCAGACTCACCCTTCAGTAATCCCAGCAGCTCTGAAGGCTGAGACAGGAGGACAGAATTCAAAACCAGCTTCAGCAATTTAGCGAGGCACTTAGCAACTCAGTGAGACCCTGTCTCTAAATAAAATGTTTAAAAAATGGCTGGGGGTATGGCTCAGTGGTTAAGCACCTCTGGGTTCAATCCTCAGTACCAAAAAAAAAAAAAAAAAAAAGACTCACCTTCAGTTCTGTCCTCATTTTGATCTATTTACTTTCTACATCCCCACTTTGGACTAAATACACATCTAGGGTCCCTGAGTCCCAGAGAGGTGTCCTGGTGAGGAGCCAGTCAGCTTTTAGAGGTAACACACAACCTGAAACTGAAGGTTAAAGTCTTTTCCCTGTAGTCAGAGTCATTGTTTGGTTCCCAGGCACAGCACAGTGGAATAGGTTTTCTTTTCCTCTCTTCTCTATTGGACAGTACTTTAAAAATATCTGTCCTTAAAAATATGGATTTAAAACTGAAAGAGTTATTTAAAGTGGCTTGCCATTCATTTCTCTAATTATTCCAGAAAGAGTTATTTAAAGTGGCTTGCCATTCATTTTTCTAATCAAACAATCAAGTGTTATTTTATTTTTTATGGATTTTTATTTTGGGTGAACTTCAGGACTTTGTGTCAAGAATTGGTTTATTTTTACTGTCGCATATTCTTCATCTCTCCCAGCCATGTCTCTTATTTTGGTGTCCAGAAACCAGCTCTTTATCTCTCTCGCAACTAGGACATTTTTCCATTCTGCTTAAGTGAGCCAGATCCACCTGAATAGCGTTCACCCTCCAAGAAAGAATGTTGCAGAGTGGATACGCAATCAGGAGAATGTCAGCCTGAAAGTGATTTTGATACTACTGAACAGGAGAAGGACTAAGATCTTCCTGTTTATAGGAAGAGGGCAGAAAAGGGTGCATGAGCCTTCACATACAATTTAAGTTTAAATGAAAGTAGAAAATAGCATGTGTCCTGTGAGGGAGGAAACTGTGGTGAATAGCCTCCGGATGGCAAGTTAGTTTCACTTCTGCTGTGTAACGTGACTTTGTGACGGGCTGCAAGGTCCACGTACCCCTTATATAGCTGGTTCCAAATATCTGTACCAAGACAGAGCAGCTGCCCTAATCTTTTTTTGTGGACTTCTAGAACCAAAGCAGATTTTTTTTTTCTATTCAGAAACATCTGGTAAGTTGTTTCTCTTATATAACTTACACTGTAACTTGTTGATGTTTTTTAAAAAGATTCTTTTCAGAGACTAGTTTTAGACTTACAGAAAAATTGAGAAAATAGAGTGTTTACATATAATCTACTCCTAAGTTCCCTTATTATATTAGGGAAATGTGGTACATTTGTTAGAAGTAATGAGCCAATATTGATGCATTATTGTTATCCAAAGTCCATTTTATTCATGTTTCTTTGTTTGTATGTAATGCTATTTTTCTACTCTAGGATCCCCCCTCCCAAGATTCCACATTGCATTTAGTTGTCATTTCTTCTTAGGCTTTGCTTGGCTGTAACATTTTCTCAGACTTTGCTTATTTTTTATGACCTTGACAATTTTGAGGAGAGCTGGTCAGGCACTGTGTAGGATTCTCCTCTGTGGGCATTTATCTGATCATTTTCTCATGATTACCCTGGAGTTATGATCTGGGGAGGAAGATCACAGAGTTAGCATGCTGTTTTGATCACATCAAATCAAGGGTGCTTACCATCACCGTGATCTATGACTGTTAGTGTTGACCTTGATCACCTGACTGAATAGTGCTGGTCAAGTTTCTCCACTGTTGAGTTACTCTTTTACCCTATTTCTTTACTGTGATCTTTGGAAGGAAGTTCTATGCAAATCATACACTTGAATAAAATGGACTTCGGTTAACAATAATGCATCAATATTGGCTTATTACTTATTACATTGATTTTCTTAAAGTAAATCAATTATTTCTTGGGGGAAAGATAAATGTACCTTTCTGTTTGCATATGTGAGTTTTAAGGCTAGGTAAAGGCCAATGGACTAGAAATGGGGAGAATCTGGTTTGAGTTAGAGTTTTGTTTAACAGTACGATCTTAGGTAAGTCATTAATCATTTCTTCCAAAAGAAAACAGCTAGTGTTGACATTGAGTATATGAGTGTATGAGTTCCTGATGAGGAGGGAAATGTTATCTTATACCTCATTAGCTTTGACAAGCCTGGGAGAGCAATAAGATTAAAATTTATTTCCTTAGAAACTGCTAAAGCACATTATGAAAATAACTTCTTATTTATTCACCAATTCACATAAAAGAGAAGGCTGAGAAAAACCTGCCATCCATCCACCCCACTGCCTCTCCTGCTTCTCTGACTGCCTCTGATGGCTACGCTGCTAATGGCCAACAAGTTACCTGATGTGTTGATGCCAAAACACATCCCTTTTCAAATAGGGGTGCGAAGGCTTTCATTTCATCTTTTGCTTTTGACCTAGCATGTTTAAATTGCTCTGTTGGGACATCCCCAGTTTGGAAGAACAATGTAATGTCCAATAAGGTGGTTAGGAAATGTTGCTTATCCTCCCAGGGCTGCAGACATCCGAGCACATTGTTTACTGATCCCAAAGAAAGAATTTGGAGGACTCGACTGAGAGGTTTTGGACATTTTCTTACGTGCTTCTGGGTGGCAGCAGGCCGGGTTACCAGGAGAGCACTCTGTGCCTACAAGCAGGGGCAACACCTAGGACAGACTGCTCGCCCACTGTGCAGTGGAGTCCTTCAGATTTTGGAATACATTCCTTAAACTTTACAACCTGGGTCACTCTGCTATGGTCCTTACCTCTAGGTTGGAGACAAGGGAAGTGGCCAGCTTCCTCTCTCCATTTCCTTCCTATCACATTCTTTAGCGTCCTTATGCGAACTTTCCTAGTTACTGATTAGTGTTTCCCCAACAACAGTTGCCCACACCAACCGTACTTAAATCCAAACCTGAAACTTAAAAATAAAGAAAATAAGTCCTTAATTTTATCAATGTTCCATCATTTTGTGACCAATCTCCTGTTCTCTACTTCATTCTTTAGCCTACCTCCTTGTTGGAGGGGGATGAAACTTAACCAAAGACCCACCGAGGAACATGGTATAGCCTCCTCCAAGTGACTGAGCAGTGGAGACAAGAAGGGGAGTCAGTTTACCAGTGAAAGTGGCGTTTTGCCCCTACCAAACTAAATAGACCTGCCCCCATGAATACTAGGTCTGATTTCTAGTTTCGCTGCCTTTACAGCATATTCTAGAAATAACACTTGTACGTATGTTTAAATGCCCACAAGAGCATTGTTACGTTCATTTTCACAAGAAATTCCTGATAGGGCTGTTTTAACCATTCCTATTCCACAGGTGGAGAAACTGGGGTTCAGAAAAATCAGGCAGTTTGTTCAGTGTCATATTGAAATACGCAATCTAAATATCCTGACTCAAAATCCTGGGCAGTGTCCAGCGTATCATTCAGACTGAGCTTGTGGGCTGCTCACCTTGCCCCTGCTGATCTGCTGTACCACCAGGACCATTACCACCCAACTAATATTTGTTGAAAGAATGAACAAATGAATAAAATAAATATAACCACCACCATTATTGATCTTACCACCTAAGATATGGTTAAAAGATGACCTTTGTTCAACAAACACTTATCCAGTACTTACTATGTACCGTGAACTTACATGTTTGTTAAAAGAAGGGAATAAGACAGTGTTAAAAACCAAAATGCCCCCCAAAGAGACTTTGCTAATTTAAGCATTTAAAATTTTTCCTATTAATGCCACTTTGAGGAGAGTAATAGAAATGAAAAGAAAAAGAGATTAATGTTGGGAAGGGTGGATCATGGGAGCAAGGTAGGGTAAGAGGAGATTCTGACCAAAGGAGAACTAGGGTAAAAGAACAGGATGCTTATAATTTGCAATAAACACATTCAGTTCTGCATCAAATAGAACAAATGCAGTAGAAGTATACTGCCCTGACATTTTCTCTCTTTTTCTCTGTCTCTCTCTCTTTTTTCTGCCTTGTTTTACTCTGAGGACATCTTAGAATTTGCAGGCAGCAGTTTGAGTCCCTATATATAATTATTTTCAAGTTTCCATGTTTCCTCCTCCTCTTCAACAGCCTTTGTCCCCAAGAGATGCCTTTGTCATGCATTTGAGAGAACCCTCATTCATGGGCACTATTCCCTCTGTTCCCCTGTGCCCAAACTTCAGAAGTTTTAAGTAGTACCTACTACAGACTATGTAGTGTAATGAAAAGAACTTTGCCCTTGCCTTCAGGAACCCCACATCTGAGTCCTCATTGCCATTACCTTAATACATGCCCTGGGCCCCAATCCTTCCCCTCCCTGGGCCTCATTGTCCGTATCCCTAAGAAAAGGGGCCCTAACCTTTATTCAATCCCAGTGTTTACAGCTGTTCTAGCATAGGGATGACTTGCATTTGTATCACCTCTGTTACTTTCCTGTTTGGAAAAAGATGGTAAGCAAACAAATAGAAGAAAGTGAGATGAGAGAAGCAAGAGTAACTGCCCAAAGTCACAATTACCTAACAGGAAGCCAGTTCTGAACAACCTCCCCATATCTAGCTAAACCTGCAGGGTCATAAAAGATGTTATTTTGGGGTTCAGTGCACATGAATGTAAATAAGTACTAAAAGCAAAACTTAGGTGCTAACCAAATAGTTGAAATACACGTAGAATAAACCACACGTGCAGAACCTTGCCTGCCCGAGCAATAAGTCTAAATTATTTTCTATTGCTTCTCAACACAAACCAAATTTTCATGATATGCACTACCATCGCTACCTCCCTCTGCAGGGAAGTGGACTCCAGCATTAGCTTAGGAGGGATGATGCACCTGCAGGTCATTTTCTCTTTAATACAACGAACTTACCATTATAGTCTTCTCAGTTGTGCTACCTAGAAGACCCTAATCATTGGTACATTATTGGTTTCCATGACAAATGATATTTTAAAATGAGAATTTTTCATTCTTTTAGCACCTATTTAAATCTAAAAACACTACAGTTCTTTTCATTGGTGGCAAAACCAGAAATAGAACATACCACATCTGGTTTCCAGTCTAATACTCTTCCCACCACATTGTTTTCAACCCAGTGACTCCATTCTGAGCAACTGTACTAAACTACCACCTCTATTTGTTTAGTGGTTATTTTCCTTTTTAAATATCTGGTGTTTATTTCTTTCTACCTCCTTTCCCTTTTTGGAAATGATAACCTTTCCATTTTCCAGTGTCATGGTTTGTCAGATGACCTCTTCCTGCCAGTCTTCAAACACTGGCAGAAGGAATTTGAAACCCAGTTCTCTACAACCACATCTCAGATAATTTCCACGTTCTCAGATTTCAGTTAGGGGTTACAAGGACTGGTACTGTGGGTGCTGCTTTGGTTTGGTTGGTGCTTATGATTTGTTGTCTCCACTAGATGCAGCTAAACCTAATCCCACTCCAGATAGCTACAAGCTATGCTGATGACCTTTGCTTCCCTTTGTATTCTGTTGACTTAGTAACTGAAGTCAGAGAATTGAAGTTCTTGCATCCCTGAAAGGAGCTAAACCACTACCCACATCCCAGAATTCAGTGAGCACATCTGATTCTCCTCTCAACTCTTGGTGCTTTTTATGCACTTTGATCTGCATTGCTTTCAGATTGAAGGGTTTTAGTCTCAAGATCACATTTTATTCAATTCTCAAGATTCTGCGTTCACACTTGAAATATTTATTTAACCCAGTGGTAGTCTGGTGGTAATGCTTATCACTTCGGTTAATTAGTTCATTTGGACTTCATCTGGCCCCAATGTCTCTTCCTGAAATATAAATTCCAGGATAGAATTTATTAGTTTTGTCCACTAATAAGACCATATATATATATATATATATCATCAGCATCCACCATGATGATATAATGCCTCATATTTTATGTGACAGTGGCTTTGAGCTGATGTCTTCAGGAAACAACAGATCTCTTTGTCAATTTCTAGTTCTGTGGCTGAAGTTATGGGCAGGCATGACTGCATGCTTGCCCATCTAACAGTTCTTCCATCATTTTTATCTCCTCACTCATCTAGGCTTTGATATAGTTCAGCATTTCTGAGTGTTTCAAACAAGAAATTGCTGTGTCTCTTATGAAATTTAGTGATCTTGCAGAGTACTTCCATTACTAGCTTTTCTGGGGAACATTTCAAAAACTCAGAATCTTGAGAGTCAACGAAGCCCTAAGATTCATCTAGTCCGATCCCATTACCAGATGGTCATAGGGTTCCTGTTCAGACTCGTTTAGTGTCAGGAAATGCATTACTTCCTAAGGGATCTCATTCCATTTTGGACAACTTCGATTATAGTAATTCTGCCTTATCCTTGGAGAATTCATTCCAAGACTGCCACTGGAAACCTAAAACCACAGAGAGCACTGAATTCTACATTTACTGTTTTTTTCCCCTACAAATACATATTTATGATGAAGTTTAATTTATAAATTAGACACAGAGTTTTGCAACAATAACATAATAAAAATAGCACTGTCATCAAAGTTATGTGAATGTGGTCTCTGTTTCTCAAAATACCATATTTTATTTTTACTTTTTCGCCAAAGGAAGCACTTTGTGGCTTTTTTTGGTCATATCCAAATTGCCAATATCACTACTCTCACAATTTGGGGTCACTACTAAGTAAAACAAAAATTACTCGAACACAAGCATTGAGATACCACAACGGTTGATCTGATAACCAAGAAGACTGCTAAGTGACTAGTGGGCAGGTGTCATATACAGTATGGGTATGCTGGACAAAGGGACAATTCATGTCCTGGGCAGAATGGAGCTGGACAGTGTGAGATTTCATCACGCAACTCAAATGTTGTGTAATTTAAAACTTATGCATTGCTTATTTCTGGAATTTTTCATTTAATATTTTTGGGGTCATAATTAACTGTGGGTAACTGAGACCTTAGAAAACAAAACCACAGAGAAGGGGGGAAATACTAAACTCAAGAATGTTAGGCCAAAATGCTTTCTGTTACTTTCCACCTAGTGGGTCTAGTTCTACCCTTTTGGAACCATAAAATTGATTCCTCACCTCTCTTACCTGCCACTCTGGGTCATGCATTTGAAACCACTGTGAAGTCCCCTCCCGTCTTCTGCCTCTGCCTACGTCTTCCCTTCCTCATTCAAGCATTCCCAGTTCTTGAATGGTCTTCACCATTAATGCTGCTCCATTTGCTTACCTGCTGCTTTATACTCTTTAAGGCAGAACTCTAATCGCGTCAAAAACGTTTGGCTTTTAAACATCCTTTGGTGTGGAATCTGATCCATTAGTTTTTCATTCATTCAGCCATTCAGCTTTTACTGACAGTCATTGCACTTCTTGAAAGAAATGCAGTATTTTTTAAAAATGCAGTATTTAAAAAAGTGCAGTCCTCTGAATTCAAATAGCTGGTGGCTCAATAAAGAGAAGAAATATAGAAAGCATGGTCAACATTATAACAGTGGTGTCTGTGGGGCAGTGGGGACTTAGAAGGGGAAAGTCGAGAATCCAGGCACCATGTCACAGAGGAAATGCCAAAACAGGATCTTGAAGAATAGAAATTCATTGAGAAGAAGGGGCAAGGGCACCTGACAGGTGCTAAGAGGTTTGGGAGTTCGGTGGAATGCTCTGCACTGGAGAACTATCAGGGGTGTGGGGTGGCCTGAGGGTAGACCACAGGAGAGAATAGAGAGGTAAAGAGCTCTACCTCCTCAGGACTTTGCACATAGTAGGGGTTTGGACCACATTCCATCAACACACTAAGTGCTACTTAGCCAGTTCTAATCAGCAAGCCAAACTAAGAATAAGAGACTGTTTCAACTGATGGGTTGTGATTTAAATGTGGGGTTAATGTACAAATGAGACAGTCTCCCTAAAGCCTTTTTTGACGAGTGTAAGTTGTCATGTCGGGAGGAATTTTGCATAGTTTAGAAGGGCTAGTGATTCTGGTTTTAAAATACACGGCTGAGTGCTCCCAACAGAAACAGCAGATATGGAAAGCACTCTGGGTGCTTCCTGCTTGTGTTCTCCTCTCTGGATGGGGACCAAGAGGCTTCAGCATAGTGTATTCCCACCCACTTGCTGCTGTGCCCTCTGTTCTGAGCCTCTAGGGGTCCATGGCTCTCCCTCTATGCTGGTGCCCTGTCTGCCAATGGGCTGGGTGCTTCCTCTGGAGATGCCTCCTTCTCTCTCCCCTGCAGACACTCCATGCCTTTGTGCTGCATGTAGCCTCCAAGTGGGGCTGTCCCGTGGTAGAGGTGGGATGGGGTGATGAAGAATGAAAGGAAAGTGACCATGACACTTGGAGCAACCAAGAGATTTTTATTGATTAACAGGGAAGGAAGAGAAAAAGAGAGAGAGAAAGAGAGACCAGGGAAAGAGAGAAGGGAGAGAGAAGAGAGAGAGGGGGGGGGGGAGAGGAGAGTTTTTATAGCCAAAATCTAATGAGATCTCTAGGTCTGCAAGCTGCCTTGTTGGCATATAGTGATTGGATCATACAATAGTTGCTAAGGGTCTCATCTTCTGCCCTCAGTGAGACCGGGCAGGGGCTAGATGAGGGTTTCCTTTGCACCAGATGGATGGGGATCAAGTGTTCAGCCTTGAGTGGGATTGAATGTTCAGACTTGAGGCAAACAAGCGATAAGGAACCAGACGGGTGAGGGTGAGGGCCAAGAGTTCCGCCCACCCTGCAGCTAACATTTGTTCAGCCTGCTCTGCAACCAACAAAGAAGGTTCATAGAATCTAGTTACTGCAACTCTCTCCTCCCCACTCAGTAACCTCCAGAGAAACTCCACAGGAGTGTCCACTGTTCAGCCACCTCCCTCCCAGATTCTTGCTGAGGCTCTCTGGGACTGAACAGCCCTGGCCCAAGGGGTCAGGGCACACCTGACTGGAGCCCGGGGCACAAAGCCAGGGAACTTCACCTGCACATTTCCAGCCTCCAGAGGTTCATTCTTGATTCAGAGTGGGCTGTCTTAAAGATCACAGCTTAAACTTCCAAAGATACAAGTATGAAGGAAAACTAACGATCCCATATCAATCTTTGTCATATTTAAGACAAAGGTCATTGGCACTAGGTGTCATGAGGTATTCAAAGATAGAATGGACACTGCTTTTTCGGAGCTTGGAATCCAGTGAGGAAAACAAAGCATAGACAGATCTATATATTCTTAGTTTCCGCTTTTTGTATTTTTAATGTCTGCTGCTTTTCCCCTTGTACTTTGTACGTCCTTTTAGATCGGTTCTTCCAAGTGACAAAAGCAGGATTTCACGTAATAAGAGATGGCAGAAACAGAGCCCAGGCCACACCCAGGTAATACACCTGCAGTGGTGTCCCCGGATGAAGCCACAGGAACAGACTGCTGTTGTCTGGTTAAAGGTAATGGATGAGACTGCATCTAATCGTCTCTAATTGCTCTTCAGTCAGATGCCGCTTTCTCATGTCAAGTTTTAATAGTGAATGAATGCCCATTATTTCAACAATAACTAAAATAGCCTATTCATGATGAAGTGAACTGTTTGGCTGGCAATTCAGTTGTGGGGTTTTCTACCTTTTTTAAAAAAAGGTTACAGAACCTTCTTTTAGGACCCTCTGAAGATAGCCTCTCTTGCAGCAGAAAAGGTAGGGCCCTTGGAATGATGTTGGTAGCTATCCTTAGAAGCAGAGATGTAGCCTATAAGGTCACTTTGGAGGGTGAATCCTGTCACCTTTCTCATGCAGAGGACTGATGAAGGGCCCCTAGGAAGAGCTTTTCCTAGAAGATGGCAGGGAAGTAACCTCCATGCGCAGAAAATGGGGATTATAGTCCTTTGTGTTTTGAGATGTATGGAGAAATGCTTTGTCCTTCCTGTGGAAAGAATTAGCTTAGGGGAAAGGAAAGCAAAGCCTCTGGGTCAGCAGGGTAGTGGCCAGCCCTGAAGCATGGCTGAGCCTGAAACAGAACCAACTCGGGGATCCGCTTGGTTGAGCTTAGTATTGAGGAGTGGGATCATTTTGCTTGGAAGATCCTGAAGGCCTCTGGCAATGGTTTGGAGCAACAATGAATCCGCATCTCTCGTTGGACTGTTGGGGATCACTTTTCAAATGTGACACCTTGTGGCAGACAGAAGCAACAGCAGCAGTAGGTTTTTTTGTTTGTTTGTTTTTGTTTTTTCCTGGTCCTGTCTCCCTCCCCTTCTACTATCTTTCCTAGGATAACTCTATATAGAATGTTGGAAAACACAAATGCGTGCCTGAGTAATTAAAGGGAATAATAAGAGCTGTGATATAAGTTCAGGCCCATACATTTCAAGTTATAATTCAATATGGAAATACTATCCATGCAAATACTATGAGTCCAAGATGCAATACTTTCTCCTTCCTAGGCAGTTTTTCACTTTGGAAATTAAAAAAAAAAAAAAAGAGTTTTAAACTATGCTATTTTATCTACTTCTTAACCTTGCTTTAGTTGATAAATAAGCTTCCAGTCTGTTATCAGATTAATTGCCAGTCACTACAGAGTTGAAATAAGAGCCCTGACTATATGGGCTTATCACTTGTCAAGAGACTAGGAAACATTGCTAACACAAAAGAGTCCCCAAGTTACAAATTGAATATCATTTTACATTCTTTCCCACAAAGGTGGAGGAGACTTTCTGGCACTGTGCTGTTCAGCCTGCAGCTGGCCCAGGTGCCTGAACAGCATGCTCTTTTCTTCTCTGCCTCTTCCTCTCCAGCCTCCAAGCCAGCAACCACTTGGTATTTAGTTCTAATGCAGTCCTTAACCTGAGCCAGGGCGAATTCTTCCAGTTAAGCTCTTGAAGTGAGATGTCTGAGGTACAAGGTCTAAACTACAAGCTCTTTCAACAGTCCCTTCCTGAGCAGGAGATGGCAGAGGGACAGTATTTGGTATGTGGCTCTGTGTTAGAATACTCTGTGGGGTGTGAGCAGAATGGGTGCTGGAATTTGCAAGGTTGAACAGTGGAAGCTGCCTGAGCTGTCCAGGAGACCTACATCTGGAACCTAGGACAGAGGTTGGGCCTTCTGATGTGGCTGCCAATCCTGGGTCCCCAGTGGAATTCTTTAGGGAAAATGGCCTTTGTAGGTGACATTCAGTTTTGGAGCCTCAGCCCTCTTTATATAAAGTCTTCCAGTTCTTCCCATCGCTTTTTTCTAAGGCACAAGCCAGCCCCAGAAGCACTGGGCTAGGATAATTACAAACAACTCTATCCCCTTTCTAACCAGGTGAACACCACCACCGAGGTGTTTTTTAACCCTCCCCGCCACACTCACACATACACACAACTTTTTGATTAAACTTTCTTTTGGGTTATGGGCCCTACCAACCTCGCACCTGTAACCAAGGGGAAAACCTTGAGTGAGCGAGTCTGCAGAATGACAAAGATTTAACTACAAAGCTTTGCCTCTTGTGATGTGTGTTCTTGACTGTGGAAGGAGGCAGCTGCTAATGTCTCCAGGTGAAGAAGGGGAAAATGTTCCCTCTCAAAGGCACCCATGTTGGAGAGCACCATCCAAAGCTCCTCTAACACATTTTTATCAGTTCTCTCATTTTACAGATTAAGAAGCTGCTGCTCAGGGGATTATTTATCCTGGATACATGGCCCATGATCCTGCCCCCCTCCACCCCGCATTCTGCTTCTGATCAATTTCTTTCTTAGTCTGAAAAGGCTTCACCCACACTTAGCCCTGCCTTAGGATTTTCTCTCCACAGTGGGTTGATTTCCTAAAACTTGATATTTGGTAAAGAATGTCTAGCCACTTTGGTTTCTGAAAACCTCCAAATTGATGTTTTTCATGCGGGGAGATAATGTTGGATGCTATATTTTGGAATCAAGTAAAAATAATAATAATAATAATAATAGTAATAATAATAAAACCCTGCGACAGAAGTAGGAACCACATGGGGTGAGCCACAGTGTCCGAATGAGCTTATGGGCAGACGGAGCTGCTGGTAGAGGTCCTCTCTTAGCCCTCAGAGCCTGTGCAGTGGGTGAGGTGAGGCAAAGAGGCCGCGCCCCGTACCTATAACTGCGTAACCTCTGCTCCTCTCTAGCTGAAGACGATGTATTTAAAGAGCCAATGAAGAAAAGACGCCGGTCGGGCCCAGGCCAGAGATTCCGAGCCCTTCAGTCAGCAGAACAGTGCGCTCTTAAGGAATGTGAGTTTATAAAACTGCGGTGTACCTTGTTTTAACCCAGCTCTGTCCTTCCCAGCTGTGTTCAAATGCTCAGAGGAGAAGGATGAAAGGTCTTCAAATGAAGATGTGTCATCTGAAAGCTTGTCTCCAGATTGCTCTGGAAGACGGGGGTGATAGTATAAAAATAACCTCTTTCTGATTAGAACAAAGGCCGTGAAAATGGTTAATCTGGTGCTTTAGTGGGGGTTTGGATGGTGTTCTTACATTTTGGTCTCTTTATGACCACAGGAGAAAAGAGTCTAGGAGGTGCTAAAGCCCGTGGCAAAGCCTGAGATGGCTTCTGATTAGGAGTTGCAGAGAGGCTGGCCCTCTGGAGTTGTCGGAATTGGCGCTGCCATCTCCATCAAGTGATAATCTCCCACGGTCGCTCTCTTGCTCTCTAGTTTAAATGGCTTTTCATTTCATTTCTTTCCCTTTCTCTGCAATATTCAGCAGACTCCTCCTTTGGAGACCTAATACTTGATCCCTGCCAGGCGCATCCCAGGTAATTCATTTCTATTGATTCCAGATGAGAAATTGGAGTCACGGACCAGAAGGGTTTTGAGCAACACTTACCAGAAACTTCTGCAGTGTGTCTTCTTGGATGACAGCATTCCTAACGGAGTCAAGTATCTCATGTGAGTCGAAACCCATACCCTTGACTCAGGCGCTGATGCCTTTCCCTAGGAGGCTCGGGTGCTTTCTCCCCCTCAACAGAAAGAAGTTTTCAGGTAGAAACTAAGCAGAGAAGCTGGGAGTTTCTGAAGCTGGGGGCCATTATCATTACCACTGATAGTTGCCATTCAGTGTGTTGTCCCTGTTGTCAGTGATTTGTTAAGTATCTTACATATGTTAAAGCTCACACCCTATAAAGAGGAGAGCTATTTCGATCTTCCCATTTTACTGAAATTGAGGCTTAGAGAGGTTGATGCACTGAGTAAACTGAGTAAACTCAAACTGTAGGTAAGAAAAAGGGCCTGAATCCGACCCAGGCTATGTGACTCTGAGCCTGTGCCCCGCACTATACTCGGGGAACTGACGTGAGGCGCTTGAGAGGTGCCTAAGCTACAATCTCTCCTGCTCAGTTGTTGCAGAGAACAGATGAGGCAAGACACCAAAAAAGGAACAGGCATCAGGTTTATTTGGCTGCAGCCAGGTTCAGAGGGCACAGCTTTTGCTGTCATCAGTCAATCCCCCGAACCCCGAGTTCAGGTAGTTTCAGAACTTTATACCCAGCATGTAAGGGGAGGGGCTCAGAAGTTCACCGTCTGCAGAAGATCACATAAAAGCAGCTTTTTCTTTCACTGTACTGGGCAAGTTGACCCTTCAAGAACAACCCCTGAGAAGGGGAGAGCTTCTTCTCCCCTTTCTTCCCTCCCCTGCCAGCTGTTACCTTGGAGCCCAGTTGGTAACTTCTCTTATCTTAGAAATGTAGACATCTCTGTGAGGTTCCAGCTCAAGGCCAGAGGCTTTATTAAAGGATCTGTCTTTTTTAAATTTAATTTTATTTTTTTATCACACTTTGCATTTGCAAACACACTTCTACAAACTAGAGAAGCTTATTCAAGGATCTATCTTTTTTATTTTATTTTATCACACTTTGCATTTGCAAACACACTTCTACAAACTGGAGAAGCTTAGTTAAGATTTTCTGTGGAGAAGGGGGTGCCACTACACAGTAAGACTCTGGGTTGCTCCTAATACTGCTTTGCCTCTGCATAAGTTTTATTAGGGACAAGAATGTGTAATTTCTATTGAACACAAACAAGGTGCCTCACATCTGTATAGAATTATATTTACCAAGTATTTTTGCATAGTTTCATGCCCCCACCCCCACCCAGGCCAACTCTGTGTAGCGAATGGTGAATAACATTTTCCTTTGACCAAGGAGAGAGTAGAGATTTTGAGGATGCAGTGACTTGCCCAGGATTAGAACTCAGTTCCTTGCATTCTGTTCTGATCGTCTCCCCACTACACCTGGATGATCATAAAAATGTGCATTTTATAATTAATACAGAAACAGGCTTCTTGCCTTGATTGAAAAGCCATCATTGGATCCGATCTACATTGGCTTATTTGGAAGCACTGGGGCTGGGAAGAGCTCCCTGATCAATGCCATCATCCAGCAGGCAATGTTTCTGCCCGTGTCTGGAGAAAGCATTTGCACTTCTTGTATCGTCCAAGTGCGCTCGGGCTGCTGTGAGCAGTATGAGGCCAAAATCCACCTTCTCTCTGACCAGGCAAGTGTGTCCCCTGTCCTCTTCCCTCCCATTCTTCCTCCCCCCTCCCTGCCTTCCTTCCCTCTTCCTCCTCTCTGTTCCTTCTTTCTCCCTTCTCACTGTCTCACATCCCTTGCATACACAGCTCATGCTTTTGTTGAGTGGAAAGACCGTATTGTGGAATAAGAAAGCTCAGTGGAGTGAGATGGGTTCTGGCCAGGTCCTGTAAAGCTCCCTGTGGCACTTGGGACCAGCCATTTCTCCTTGGGGCCCTGTTTCCTCATCCACACAGCCAGGGGGCATGGTAGCTGATCTGAGATGTCCTGATGATGCAGCCCCGGCCCTGCACGGGGTAGCATGGTTCCTCCTGTTCCTGTGTCACCAAGGGTGTGTCCCTGCTCTGCCTTGGCAGGAGTGGAAAGAGGAGCTGAAGAACTTGACTAAACTCCTGCACAGTGCAGAGGAGCCAGACGGGGAAGAGGTGGACCCCTGGGATGGGGACGGCGCAGTGGAGGAGGCCATCTGGAAGCTAAGGATGGTCTATGGAACTGGGGCAGAAAGAAAGAACTATGAGGAGCTACTGAGGGCAAAGCCCAAAGGGAAGATTCCCACCTCCAGAGTCATCACTCTCAAGGCAGAAGAGGTAGGTAGCTTCAGGATTTGCTTTCTTCATTTTATCACGGGTCTTAAATAAAACAGTGAGTCCATTTAGAGGACTTACCTGAGATACAGTGTTTTTATTAGAAATAAATTGATGCCTGATTCAGAGTTATTCATGACCCAAGTTATCTTTCTTTCTGGCTGTTGAATAGAAATTTTTAGCATCTGAATGGAGGAGGTTTTACGCAGAGAAAATACCGTTTATAGTTAGTTAAGGATTAACTAAGGATACTATTTAGCTGCAAATGATAAAAATAAAGATATAGGATAGCTTAAACTTATAGGGGTTTATTCATCTTCTCATGTAAGCAGTCTGGGGGCAGCAGGGTCCTGGGTTGATGGAGAGGCTCAGCAGTGTCAGGTCAGTTTCTCTGCAGAGTTCTTGGCCTTCATCACACTCACTGCCTTGTTGTCCCAAGGTCGCTACTGAAGTCAGTGCTAGACTTCACAGCTAGCCTCGTGGAAAGAAGTTGGAAAAGCTGGCACCTACCATATCTCCCCTTTCATCAGGAAATAAAATCTTCCCCAGAAACACCGTCAACAAATTTGTGTGTTGATTTCATTATGTAGAAGGGAGCCACGTGATCTTTCCTAGCTGAAGGGCGATCAACAGGAGGCAAGAAGCAGGATTGTCCTGGTTGGCTTAGACCCATCACTCTCCACTGCCTCCCCAGGCAGACAGACGAAAACTCAGGGTGGTGCTATGTGAACTTTTTAAAATTTAATTTCCATATTAAAACAAAATATTTGTGGGAGCAACACTTAGTTTATTCAAGTTGTGCATTTAAAAACCTAGTTTTTCTTGTTTTTTAAAATTCATACTTAAAGTATTGTTATTCTATTTAGAAATCTGGTGATTTTTGCACAAAATAAGAATAGTTGCTTATGTACGTCCTAACATCTTATGTCCAATTATCCCCTGATTAACAAAGCAAATCCTTAAATATTTAATGCTACTTAGATATTTACAAATTTAAATTTCCTTAGATTTTTTTTTGTATTATAATTAAAGTGTAATGTGTATGAGTCTGTCAGAATATTTTAAGCAGTTGATGGGCACATTGGAAGTCAAATGAATGAAACCTTTCAAAGCCCTTGCAGAGCAGACGACGGGCCTCCTGACATCCATTGGCCAGGCCTTCAACAGACCTGTGTCCAGTTGACCCAGGAGAAAAGAGCTGGGAGCACGCTGGTGTGTGACTGTGACCTTCCTTCTCAGGCAGGAGAACTGTCCGTCAAGCTGGACTCCTACATCCGGACTCAGAGGAGAGACGGGGACGGAGAATCAGCTGAAACCCGAATCTGGCCCTTGATCAAACACGTGGAAGTGACTCTCCCCAAATCCTCGCTAATTCCGGAAGGGGTGGTGCTGGTGGACATTCCAGGCACAGGCGACTTCAACAGCAAGAGGGATGAGATGTGGAAAAAGGTGATTCTCTTTCACTGAGCTTCTTTCCTCTTCCCTCACCTCCTCCATCCTTTTTAAGCCAAAAAAAAAAAAAAAAAATTCTACTTCCAACTCAGAGAATTTTATGAGTTCACTGGGATTAAATTCTACTTTATATGGTCTGTGGACAGTCAGCTATAGAGAGACCTCAGAGTAAGCAGAGTAATCCAAGACAGAGTGGGGTAGGGAGAGAGTGCAGCGGGTGCAGGGCCCAACAGCTGCTCATTGAAGACCTAGAGGCTGCGGCCACGTTGATGAGGGACAGAAACCAGCTAAAGCAATACCAGATCAAGAGGGGTCATGGAAAGGACATCAGAGGACCTCAGGAGATACGGTCAGGCCTCAGGAACACCCATCAGGCTTGAAGTAGCTGTTCTCTGTCATTCTCTGCCTGGCCTCCTCTGACTGCCTCCCTTCCCACGGCTCTTCACAAAGACCCGCTTCTCTTAGTTTTCTTAGCCATTAGGATCCACATTGTCAAAAATGACCACCCTACCCCTGTCTCTAAATGACCTTGAAGTTCATGGGCTTAGCACTGTCTTTATGTCTTTTTGCTCAAATTTCTTAGAGGAAAAATCTGACAGGTTACTGCCCACCTAATGGATTAATTCTCTCCAGATTAGGTGTCCATCTCCAGTGCAGCCAGCTGTGGTGGAAGGCGGTGGTCTGGATGGAGGTCCATTCCTTCCACCAAAGGCTTGGGTTGGAGCTCGGTTCCCAGCAATGGAACGCTCAGTCACCTCCAGATGTGAGAACCAACAGAGAGTCAGCCTTAAGGGCAATTAGCAACTCACACCTAGTGACCAGAGGTTGAGGTGTTCTGAGGTATCTCATTGTTCATTTATTATCACACACATGCAATACACTAAGCCAGAGGAGGCAAAGATCATAGCTAATAATGACAGCGGACATTTACTGAACATTTATTCTGTGCCAGGCACTGTTCTAAGTGAAGTAAATTGCACCCATAACAGAGATTTTAGCCCTGGGGGGCTTCTGCTCTTAACTCTTACTCTATTCTACAGTTCTCTCTGTGAATGAGAACTCAGAGAATGACCTATTATATTAAGAATCGCATACGCTCATCCCTCAGTGTCCATGGGGGTTGGTTCCAGGATGCCCTGTGGACACCAGACTCCTCAGATGCTCCAAGTTCCTTATATCAGATGGTGTAATACTTTCACATAATCTACGCACATCTGTCCATATACTTTAAATCATCTCCAGATGACTTATAGTACTATACAATGTTAATACAAATAGTTGTTGTATTGTTTTAGGGAATAATGACAAGAAAATGACACATTCAGTAAAGATGAATATATATTTTTTGGTACTGGGGATTAAAACTAGGAGTGATCTACCCATGAGCTACACCCCCAGCCCATTTGTTTTTTTTGGGGGGGAGACTAGACCTCCTTAAGTTGTGGCTGGCCTCAAACTGTCTGGCCTCAAATCCTCCTACCTCTGTCTCCACATCTGTTGTGCACCACCATACCTGCCACAGTTTTTTAGAATATTTTCCCTCCATAGGTGTTTGAGTCCTTGGTTGGGGAACTCATGGACCTGCAGGGCTGTCTATATGTGTGTGTGTGTAATGTTTAAAATGCACAGCAGACAGTAGGGCCTGCCCTTCTGGGAGGATGCACCCCTCCAGCTACAGACAGTTTCTGTGTTTACTGTCACTCTTTACTCATACTCCTGTATTGCTTGTGTATTTTGCACAAACATGTATGGTGTTTACACCTAACACGTTGAAAGCAAAATATAACGAGATTGAAGGAGAAGCAGAGCCTTCCCACAAGGGCCTTGGAGTCTCTTAGAAGAGGTAAAGCACACAGCAGGCAGATGACAAGTGAACTGGAGGCCATGAGGCCCTTTCCCTGGATGGGGTGTGGTCAGATACGCTGGCCACTCATCACAGCCCACAGATCTGGCTGGAGAGGCGCTCTGAGGAGGTTGGTTGGAGTGGGAGATAGTTCCCAGGGTGCTCTGCTTGGCTGGGGCTCCCCTGCATTCCTGCGGTTTCATGATCGCTTCTCGTAAGGAATTTCTGAAGATTTCCCTGTTCAGGGAGAGCAGAGCACAGGGACACATCTCTCTGGCTACCAGATTTGCCTTCCCTAAAAACCATCACCAATTCAGACATCCTTGGTCTGCCATCTACAAACTGGGTACTTTCAACACGTCACCTAACCCCTCCGAGGCCCATTCATCATGGGGAGATGGAAGTGGGGGTGGCAGGTACCATCGCACCCACTCCTGAGTCCTGTTGGTCTTGTTCTATAGATAAGATTTGTATGTGTGTGTGTGTGTGTTTGTGTGTGTATGTCTCCCATGGCTCTGACTTTATCAATCCTGGCAGTTGGGAGCTTGGTGTAAGCCGCCCAGTTAATGTGCTCTCCTTTTCAAATTCTCCACTTCAAATTCTGTCACAGATCATAGCCTTTCATGTGAACGTACATTTAGTAAGCACCTGTGGTTTATCAGAACCATAGGGAATGCGAGGGTCAAGAGGGCCTGCTCCCAAGGAGCTCCCATCTGGTGTCCTTCATCTTCCTCACCTGATTGGATGGTTGCTGCCCTCCATGGACGCTGAGCTCAAAACTCTCTAAATTGACTATAATTTGTGAAGTGGGAGGGGGGCAGTTATTGATTTTTTTCTCTTGTTTAAATGAAAGACAATTCACAAATAGGTAAGGGCTGGAATCCATAGTCACAGGGTCCTAAGTAGTCTTTATCTCGCAGGCTCTGTCTTCTTCTCCCTAGTTCAAGGGTTTGTCTAACTCATAAAACCTAAGCTTTTAAAGCAGCAATCTGTAGAGCCAAGAGGGTGTGGACACAGGGTAGGGTGTATTAAGCAGATGGGGTTTCCAAGTCCCCCACTCTGAATTCCACCAGAGAAGTTGTTTTTAAAACAAGTTCATGTGTTGGGATTCTTTCCAGCCCACTGACTCTGAGCTGGCTACCGACCCAAGGGAAGGATGCTGGAACTGCTTGGTGTTAAAGGAAGTGGATAGAGGGGACATCCTGCGAGGAGAGGGTGGCAGGTTGTGCCCCAGCCAGAAGTTAGGAAACATGCTCTCCACTTTAAATTCTACCACTCACTAGCTGTGTGGTCATGGGCAAGATGAATTTGAAACTCCCTGCTTTAGGTTAATGTATCTCAATTTTGTGTCTTTTGGAGCTAGATAACTCTTTGTCACAGGGTGCTGTCGTGGGCATGCAGGACATTTAGCCTTTACCCACTATTACCCCATGTTGTCACAATTAAAAATGTCTCCAGGGCTGGGGTTGTGGTTCACTTGTAGAGTGCTTGCCCAGCATATGTAATGCCCACATTGCCAGATATCCTGTAGGGCACAAAATCTCCACTAGTTTAAAACCACTGCCATAAAGCAAAATAATGATTTAATTATCAGATCACAAACTTATCATAGCTTTATGTGCAAAGTACTGTCTTGTCTTGATCCCTGAATTGGCTAAACTTTTCATTTATATGGAGATAAGAGAAGCAATATGATAAGAGAAGCATCAGAGGCAACCCACATTGGCTTGTCAGTGAGAGTTGCACATTTAATAAAGTAGCATTTATGCTATTATGATGTGGTATTATGTGTTCCTTTCCTTTGCAATTTATAATCCTAAAGTGCCTGGTTTCCTGCTGCCACATGGTGGCCATATGCTAGACATGCAGAGACCATCAAACCTCACACTGAAGCTGCAGGTGACAGACAGGTTTGGGGTAGATGCATAGATGCACTGAATTTTCCTTAGAGGACAATTGAGATGAAGCAAGTGAGTGACAGATTTGGGATGAGAGGACTTATTTCTTGAATTCTGTCACTCAACCATACCACAGACATCTGCAAAGTTCTGGTAATGGCCAAACGGAGCTTGGGGTGATGTGGATTCCAAGATGAAGGGTACAGAGAGCTCCTTTCCTTCTTGGGGCAGAGCTGGCCCTGCACAGTAACTGTCTGAGAGGAACTATGGCAGGCAAGTCCAGGTGGTCTAGGATGCTGAGGAGAGGCAGCCAGCCCATCTGCCGTGGTCCCGAGTGGCCCTGAAGGATGAATGGAGGCTAAGCAGAGGCTGTGGCAAGTGCAGAGGCCCCAAGAGCTAAAGAGCAGGGACCTGCATGCAGCTCTGGCTGGCTGGTGCAGAGGGAGGAGGGAGGTGTGCGTGAGAGACAGGACAGGAGGCAGGGTGTCTGGGGAGTGGACACAGGTGATCCCCAAGGAATCATCCTCCAGAACCAAGCCACCATTCATGCTCTGACCCCTGCTGTGGGCATGTTCCTCAGACCATTGATAAGTGCTCAGCGATCTGGGTGATCAGCGACATAGAAAGAGTTTCCGGAGGGAGAGCCCATGAAGACCTTCTGAATGAGAGCATCAAAGCCTGCCAGCGAGGCTTCTGCAGGGACGTTGCCCTAGTGGTCACCAAGACAGACAAGCTCCACCTGCCGGAATATCTAAGGTATAGTGCTGGGCTTGTGGGGAGGTGGGTCCCAGCTGGGGATCCCCTACACAGCTCCAGAGTGTAGGCTTAGTGCTAAGCCAGCTGTCCCCCACACAGCTCCAGCGCTGTGGCGCACACCAGTCAGTATGCAAACGGCATCCCTGGGTCGTGCAGCATTGGCCCTTGCCCCACAGAAATGGAACTTGTAGATGCCCCACAACTAGGAGTCCATTCTGTAAAACTGTCTGGCCTGATACAGCTTTGAAGGATCAGGTTCTGTTTCAGATTTTTCTCCTCCTGAGATTTTTTAACTCATCTGCAAAAGGCCCTTAAAGTTTTAGAACATTGGCCCAAAGGGAAAGTGTTCTCTGAGAGTTACAGTCTAACAGTGAAGAATGAAAGGTGAGCAGCATGGAGCCTGGTGGGGATTAACAGAGGTGGGCTTGCATGCAGATCTCTGATCCCCCAGTGACTGCGGAGACTGCACCTTATCTTCCATATTGAGACACTTTGAGTAAAAGGTGGACCAACAGAGGATGGGTGGGTGTGCACTGCAATGCCCTGGGCACACTGACATGTGGTCACCATGCAACCTTGTGGGTGCTTCGCTGCTCTCACAAGAGCTTCTTCGCCTGCCCCCTCCACCATCTCCCCCAGGCCCTCTGAAACTCAAGTCTGCCGCTCCAGGAAGTCACTTGGTCTTGTTGGAATTTCAGCTTCATTTTTCTTCTCTGCAGTTCCTTCCCACCCTCCTCTCATCAACGAGTAGCTCCCCCTTCCCAATGCCAACACTAAACCTAAACAGAATTTAATCAGATTCAGTAACTGTTTATTGAATGCCGTGGTGGGCTGCGGATTGCCTCATCTCTGAGCTTACAGTCTCAAAGAGAGTTGAAGGTTGTATGAGAAGGACAAGCAGAACTCTGTGACCCTAGCCTGAGAGGACTGCCTTGTGACTGGGACCGGGAGGGAGGTCACAGGAAGTTTCGCAAAGAGCATTGATAAATAAAGGCACTTTTTTCCAAATGGACACTGGAGGTAGATCAGAAGAGGGGGCTTTGCTAGGCGCGGTGGCGCACACCAGTCATCCCAGCAGCTCAGAAGGCTGAGGCAGGAGGATTGGGAGTTCCAAGCCAGCCTCAGCACCTTAGCAAGGCACTCAGCAACTCAGCGAGACCCTCTCTCTAAATAAAATAGAAAAAAAAGAAAAAAGGGATGTGGATGTGACTCAGTGGTTAAGCAACCCTGGGCTCAATCCCCAGTATCAAACAAAACAAAACAAAGAAAAAAAAAAGAGGGGCCTTTGGACCAAGGAACTTATACAAAGCCACCGAGGTGGCAGACCATACTGCTTTCAGGGAAAGTTAGAGGACTGCTGGGTCACGTGATGGAAGTTCAGTAATTGTGCATTTTTCTGATTTTATTTCAGGGAAAGAAAGCTGGGAAATGTAAGTATGGACCAGTTGTTTTTAAATAATACTTTTTTATGCCTGATACTACATAATATTAATATATACGGATGTGACTGGGCCAAATGAAGATGGCCCCATTAACGTGCAACCTGTCCCTCCATCACGATTGGAAATGCTGGCTTCTTTGCATGCTTTTATTTCTTTTTACTATCTAGCAAGCTGTTCAAAGTCAGCGAGAGGCTGTTTTGGAAAGAAATGAAATGATAAAGCAACAGAGGAGTAGAAATCTCAAGGAAAAACTGAAGGTGAGTTTACCAATTTTCCTATGTATTTTTGTGCTTCACCAGATTTTGAGAAACAGAAGTATATTTGGTCCTGCATGGTAGCAGGGTCATAACTTTGGAGTGGACAATTTGAACTTCAACTCAGTCCTACTCCTCAATGTCTCTGTGACCTGAGGCAATGACATTACCTCTTCTGCTTCTGCTTTCTCATCTATAAAATGGGGATCTAATCATATCTGTCTCTATGACTCTTGGAAAAATTGCATGAGGACATTGTCTATTGAGAAAGATGTCCCAGGTAAGTCAGGGATCCCCATCCAGTTTGAGGTACTCAAGGAGAAATTATGGAGCATTGTGGGAACTCGGGAAAGATATCCACTCACATGGACAGTAGGTAGGGGTGGTCCTGGGAAAATGTCCCAGCCTCTTGAGCAGAATTTTAAAGAACCAATAGTCTTTAGTCAGGATAAGACATAGCGGAAGGTGTGCTCAGGGAACAGGTAAGAACATGTGGACATTGGTCGCTGTGTTTGGCTTCATGCAGGTAGTTTTGAACAGCTCAGTAAAGGGAGTCCTGGGAGATGAGGCCAGCACTGTTTCCCCAGCTTGAAAAATCATTCTGTGGACTCTTTGTGTTTTCTTAAATTATTTTTGCTATTTTGTCACTAAAATTATGTAAACATAAAACTTCTTATTATGCAGTCTCAGCTATAAAACTGAAACCAATTTTAAGATGAAACGTACAAAAAAAAAAAACCATAAACTATGTCAGATGATATGGATTTGCCAGAACCAAATCTTCAGTTCTAGGCTCAGTGGTAATGTTAAGGTGAGATTGCAATAAATCACCAAGTCCATCTTAAAGCAGGAGAAGGAAACTTTATTCACCAGTTGGTGGTCTGGATCCACCAGCTGGCAGGCCAAGGGATAGGCTGAAAGTCTATACACTTCGACCCCCTTCCAGGGTTTGAGTACACCTTTTATTTTCGCTATGTTGTCACTAAAATGCTGTAAACAGAAAACTTCTTATTATAGTAGTCTCAGACAGCTATAAAACTTAAACCAATTTTAAGATGAAATGTACAAAAAAACCACAGTAAACCTTCCAGAATAGGTCCAAAATCACATTAAAGCATAAGTGGCTGTTGCTAGAATTCAAAACCATAAACAAACATCATGAGATCTAAAATCATAAGCAGAAAAGATAGTGGACCAAAACATCCCTAGTTGTGTACAAGTTAAAAAATGGTTACTAACATCTAGACAATCAATCTTTGACAGGGTACATTGTTCAAGAAAAACCGGAACCAAAGAGAGAACACTTTTACATTGCATAAGAATAGTCATTGTGTGTTGCCAAACATGCTGTGCTTAGCAACTGTTGATGGATACAGAGGTGGGGCTTTTCCTGGGAGAAGCATTTCTTACATGATGTGGAGTTTCAGGGTAAAACGGAATCTGTTTGGTCATTGCCCATATGGCCTGGCCATAACAGTAAAATATTTGACCGCTGTCAATATCTCTGTATTCAATAGCTTTCTGCATTGTGACTTCAGTGTCATTGAGGCAGGAAATGTTGCCTGTACTACATGGACTTAAGAAACTCAGAGCTTTTGTTTCTGGTTCAGGATGATAAGGCCACATATTTGAGCCAAAGCCTTCTGCCAAGCAATCAAATGCCAGTCTTCATGAGGTGATAATTCAGCAAAGCTGTTCTTAATCTTCTGGTCTTGTTGGCATTAAAGAAATACCCATTTTATGGGGATCTAATCATATTATTTCTGGAACTGGAAATATAAAATACTTCAAGGCACAGTTCCTAACAGTTCTTTGCTAATAAACGTGGCCACTCAGTGTGCAAGAGTGAAGGTCTGTGCAGCAGTGCCTTGGCTCCTGCGGCAGCTACATTTCTTGTTGAGGGATGTAAGTTCAGGTGTGCAACCCACGTCTTGGGTGGCCAGGTAAAGCCTGAATTTTCCAACCACCGTTCCTTTTTTTTTTCTTTTCTTTTTTTCATTACTAGGGATTGAACCCAGGGCCTTATACATACTAGGCAAGTGCTCTACCACTGAGCTACACCTCCAGTCCTTTTTATTTTACTTTGAGAGAAGGTCCTGTTAAGTTGCCCAAGCTGGCCTTGAACTTGAGGTTCTCCTGCCTCAGCCTCCCTTTGCTGGGATCACAGGTGTGCACCACTTTGCCTGACTCCAGCCACGATGTTTGTTTGAACAATTGTGAAGCTTTTGCTTGTACTGCATGCCTTCACTTGGAGCAAATTTAATCTTAATCATAGAAAATATGAGGAAGAAAATATGAGGAAGAAGTGGGCTGACTACAAGGCAGTCATTCATGTAGCTATAGGTCAATGTTTTTAAATTATAAAAAGAAAATTATAAACAGTAAGGACAGAGCTTGTAGATCAAATGGGGACTCTGAAGGCATCAGAAGAGGGCCAGTGAGGTGAGGAGGGGGAAGAAGAGAGTGAGGAAGGGAAGGGCTCAAGTTTCCATGCTGCAGAGAAGTCTTAGAGGAGGGACTAAAAATCCCTCACTGGCTGCAAGTTACAAGGTCATGAGCATTCCTCATGCTCGGATCTGAAGCTGGATTGCTGTGGGCTGTGCCAGCTCCTTGTTCCAGAAGCTGGGTGGCCAAGAGAAAAGGAGAGGGAAATTCTCTCTCTCTCTCTCTCTCTCTCTCTCACACACACACACACACACACACAATGTTCTACACACATTTCCCCTCCTGCTATTCAGAGTGGTACTTGCTCTGGTGCTAGATGGAAGGAGTTGAAAGGGACTCCCTGAAGGTGATCTGCTCTCATACCCTTTCTCCAAACCTTTTGAGACTCACATATTCCTTAGTCTCTTTGGACCGCTCTGACAGAACACCATGGAGTAGATGATTTACAAACCACAGATACGCATTTCTCACAGCTTCGGAGACTGGGAAGTCCAAGATCAAGGGGCTGGCACATTTGGTGTCTGGCGAATACCCGTAGAATGAAGGGCATCTTCTGGCTGTGTCCTCTCACAGTGGAAAGCATGCAGAGGCCCCCTGGGGCCTCTTTTATGAGGGCACTAATCCCATTCCTGAGGGCTCCACCCCACAACCTAATCACTTCACAAAGGCCTCCTCTGAAACCATCCCCTAGGGGCTAGGATTTGATGTATGGACTTTAGCAAATACAAATGTTCAGTCCAAAGCATCCAAAATGATTTGCTTCATTTTATCAAGAAAGTCTGTTCTCTAGTAAACATTTGAAATAGAAAATTAAATTTACTAGGAAAAAATAATATTAGCATTTAAAAAAAATATATAGGATTTAACACTGTCTTTTCACCAGATAAAGCTAGGAGAACTTTCCCTTATCCCCCCACAGTGGACGTATGGAATTTCCTAGACTACAGGAGAGAACTATCATTAGATTTGACATTTGAAAGTTTTAGAGATCTAAGCAAAGTCCGGAAGACGGCCTTTCCTAATGTGTGCGATGAGGAGTGTGTGGAGGCCAGTCCTGATGGCCTCACAGCATGTGCCCTGTGCCTCACTGGCCTGTGGCTGGCTCTGAGAGGACCCTGTGCACACAGAGACTTCCTGAGCACACTCAGAACAGTCGTGGACCAGGGATCTCCATTAGGCAAGTGCAGCACATACTACCTGCCAGAATAGCTCATTGTGGAGGAAACACTGTGCTAGGGAGAGCAGAAAGGTGCCCCCTTGCCTGTAAGAGGGCATTTCAGGTCCCAGCATCACAAGCCACTCCTGCAATGCGAACAAAATTGGTCATTCCCCGGTTCATTCAGCTCATTGTATGTTGTGCATAAATGACAGGTTGCCTGATTGAAATCATTTGCATTAAACAGTCAAAATAATCAGGAGCCTTTAAGCTCACCTTACAAATCTTACTTGATTTTTTTGTGCTAAAATTCTTACTTTGATTAATGCTCTATTAGCATATAGAGGTGGATAGATTTGAATTCTTTATAAAATTATACCATGTTTATATCAAATTATATTTCTGTAAACACTGTAAACTGTAATCACAAGCTTTTGTCCTTCAAATACCTTTAAAAGCAGGTGCAATATACACATATCATTGTATTTGCAAAGCATTTCTAAAACTCAACATAAAATAACTTATACAACGGGTTTGACTCATTTCATTATCACCTTTATAATTATTTTTACACCTTCTCAGACTGCAAGCTTCCTCATAGCCTCCTGGGAAGCAAATATTCATGTTCCAAAAAAAATTCTAAGACATCATCAGTTTTAAGGCATACCACTGTTTTATATTTTTAGAAAAGAAAAAAAATGCAATGAAATTATGATATAATGCTTTGTTATTAGATTTTTATTTTTATGTCATCAAAAGAGCAGTATTAATTCTTTAACATGATTTTTAAAGATCATTTATACTCTTGTGCATTAAATATAATGAAAACAGCCAGGTGCAGGGACACACACTTGTAATCCCAGTGACTCCGGCGGCTGAGATAGGAGGATGGCAAGTCAAGACCAGCCTTGGAAACTTAGCGAGGCCCTAAGTAACATAGTGAGACTCTGTCTCAAAGTAAAAAAAATTTAAAAAGCCGGGTACTAGCTCACTAGTTACCCAACACAAAACAAAAAACAGTAAAATATATTGGTTAAGGTATTTTTTTCACCACTTTTTCATTAAGAGTCCAACTCATCTAGGTCAAGTCTTAACTCTAAGTTCTTTCCCCTCTAAACCCTCCTCCTCATCCTTTATACCCTCAGGAGCACTAGGGATGCTGCATTTCTTTTAAGAACACTCTACTGTGGTCTCTGGGATTTTTTCTCAGGCCATTGTCCTGCCTCCTGCTAATTTTGATCTTGAAAATTTCTTGGCTGGGTGTGTGACAGGCAGTCGTCACTTTTCATCTATCTCAGTACCAAAACATAACCTGGCTTCATTCACATGAAGTGTCTCCCTTTCCTAGGTCTTAGGAGGTGCTAGTGTTGCCTGCAAGAAAACTTGGAATCAAGGTGCAGTTCACGAACCAGCGGTGTGTTTTTCACTAGTATCAAGTGTACTCTTCACTTTTCTGTTCCCAGGCCTTCGTTGTAAATACATTTCAATGCTGAATTCTAATATAATCTCCTTGAAGACATTTTAAATAGCATATAAATAGAGTCGCACCAACAACATGCCCAGCTCATTTGAGGGAGGGCAATAGGTATAGCTGTGACCAAGTGTAGTGACCCGTGTGTAGTGTGTCAGTTGCTAGGGCTGCAATAACAAAGTACCATAAAATGTGTGACTTGGGACAACAGGAGTTTGTTCTCTCACAGTTCTGGAAGTCAGAAATCCAAAATCAAGGGATTGGCAGGGCTGTGCTCCCCCTGAAGGCCCAAGGGTGAGTCTGTGCCAGGCCTGTCTCCCAGTTTCTGGTGGTTCCTTGCCTTGGGGTGGCACAACTTCAGCTGTCACATGGCACTCCCTGTGTGTGACTGATGTACATCTGCAGCCAGATTTCCTCTTCTTGTAAGGACACCAGTTATATTGGGTTAGGAGCTCACCCCACTCCAGTGTGACCGCATCTCCATTAATTTCATCTGCAATGATCCGGTTTCCTTAAAAGGTGACATTTCAAGGTACTGGTATGTAGGACCTTAACATATAAATTTGGGGAGGCCACGATTCAACCCACAACACGGGGGTTTTTGGCGAAACGTGTTACCAGTGTGTTTACAAGTTGCTGGAGGTTTGGCTTCTCACCAGTCCCAGAGGACCAGAGTACCTCCACTCAGCGCTGTCATACCTTTATATCAGAAAGAGACCGACAGCTGTCCCATTCTCCACCTCTCTCAAGTACCCATGCACAACTTCTACTTTTTTCTTTTCAGTAAGAAGAATGGAAGATTATGGAACAAAATTTACATGTGATTCTGGTGTGACTTCTGGTTATGATATTTTGCTAATGATAATTTTTTTTTCTCATATAATTCTTAATTCCTTGACATTTAAAACCATCATGTATACTTAAACATTACTCTATATTAAAATGATTATTTTATATGATCATCGTATATGATTATTCACTAACCACCTGGATAAGAAACTTTTACTTTTTAGTGTTGTACTGGGAAATGTTTAAAAATCAGCTCTGTGTTCAAACAACAGCTAGCAAAACATCCAAAAACTCTGATTTGTTCCATTTGCCGATTTCTATGGTGTAAAGCCTCTTGCCATTGCCAATACCAAGCTACCAATGTGCTATTGCTGAAGCAGAGTTGGGAATCCACGTGCCAGTTGGCCGTTGCCAGTGGTGGGCTTTTTACTCACTTATTGACTGATGGATGGATGGACTGATGGCTGGGAATGGAACCCAGGGCTTCTTGCAGTTTTAGCACATGCTCCACCACTGAGCCATATCCCCAGCCCTGTGTTCCCCAGGCTTCTTTTTCCAAAAAGGATCCTAGTATTTCCCCATTCTGAACACTCACATACACTTTGGAACCATTTTCTCTGTACATCTCCTTGGAGAATTAATTTTTTAAAACAATGTTTAGTTGTGGTGGACACAATACCTTTATTTAATTAATGTATTTTTTATGTGGTGCTGAGGATCGAACCCAGTGCCTCACACATGCTAGGCAAGTGCTTTCCCGGCCCACGAGAGTTGATATTTTTAACTCCCAAGGAGTTAGCTCCAATGCAGTGAATTCCTCACAACCTCTGACCTGAGGAGTGGACTCTGGCAACACAGGACATTTAGAATAGTGCCTGTCCCTTCCAGGGCTCTGACAGAACTGAAGGTGGGTGAGCTGAAACTTGCCAAAGGCTCCTGTGAGGGATGTGCCGCATTTCCTTTGCTATGGTGACTTACTCTGTTTCCTGTGTGCCTTTCACTTCAGAGAAAACTGCCTGCGGACTCCAAGGCTCTGGAAATCTCGGATCTGGTGTACACAGTCAGTGCCCAGGAGTACTGGCAGAAGATCCTCCTCACCGAAGAGGAAACTGGTAATGTATATTTCTTATCCCATCACTAAAATTCTTAAGACTAAGTTTGGCACTCTGAATAACCTGCTCTAGAAATTTCTGTGCCACAGGAAAAATTTTCTTCAGCTTTCCAGTTCTATATCTATTAATACACACACACACACACACACACACACACACACACTCACACACACCACACCCTATCAGAGAGTTAGGACAAAGACATGTTCTGCCTAAAATCCCACACGTCAGAGGTTCTTGTTGCTTGCTACAGCAAGCTTGGGTGTTCTGATGTTAAGGGTCACCTGGCTTAGGTAGAAAAACCTAGGGGAACCACAGAGTTAAGCGCCCTTGCTTCAACTCTGCAATGAATGCCAACCCAAAGAAAAATGCCCATTCTTTTTATAGCCAGTCTGTACTTTCCTATGAATTTTATTTTGAATAGCTAAACCAAATTAATATTCACCATCGCTGAGTTACCTTTCACTGTTGTTGATCCCAGACGTGAAAAAATGTCCTTCAGAAAGCTGGTTGAGGAGGCAGCCAGCTGCAAGGGCCAACTGATCTTTCAACGTGTGTGAATTCTGTTCCATGCAAACTTGACCTTTTAAAATTGTCTGTGCCGCCTGTGAATTCCAGAAATCCCCAAGTTAAGAGAATACATCAGGAAAAGGCTCTTGGACGAGAAGAGGAGGATGGTGACCAAGTATGTTACTGAAGCCTTTGGCCTACTGCTCCTCACAGACAGCTTCAACTCCACAGAAAACCTGCCGGTATGGAAGTCGCCTGGGCCATCTGTTCTCTCCCTCCCACCTGGGCAGAACATTCCCTTTGCCTATTAGAAAACTATGATAAGGAAGAGACAAAGCCCAGAGAATCTCAGGGGACTAAAAGATAATGAAAGGGTTCTAACTGTCACATTTGGATAAAATGGACAGATGGGCCGAGAGGAAAATGTAAAAGCAGTCTGTGGTAGCTCTCACCTCTCCCGAGACTCGAGCAGGACGGAGTCTGTGCAGGATGGAGAAGGAGACTTCCACGGAACGCAGATGACTCTTGGCTGTCTTGGAGAGCCACGTCTGTACACACAACCCAAACACGACACATCTGTCCATGGGTTTCAGCAAAGTTCAGGCATTTATCTTCCCCGTCTAGAATGCAAGCCCTTTGAATGACCAGAGAAAAGTTACATTTCTCATGGCAACAAATTTATCTCTCTGATGGATGACTTTTTAAAAACCCTAACATGAGAGGGATAAGCTACTAAATTAGAAAAACAACCCCTTCCTTTAATCAATCAAAGCAACCACTTTGTTTCTTTATAAGAGACTGAATCTACAGACAACAGAAAACCATATATAAAAATGACTGCACCCCATACCCTGCAGAAACTGCCCAGCCGGCCACCCCCTTACTATAATAACCAGGCCAGGAAGCCGGTCTTGTGCACTAAGTCAGACTTACAGGAGGTCACACTGCCAGCTCTAGCAGTGAGCCAGGAAGCCACACAATAACTCCTGTCACAGTCAGTGCCTAAAGGCCACTACTTGATCAAAAGCTCCTCTAATCCTTACCCCTGCTTGCAACTTAGGGCCAGCTAGAGAAAGCCAGTGAGACCCTAAGCAATCACATGGATGTCAGGCCTCCCGCCTCCCAGGCCAACAGCCTCCGCTGAGGGCACACCCGCAGCCTTCCCTCTCCTCCACCATCAAGCTCTCCCTCCCCTTGGCCTGCCTTGGAGTCTCTGCCAAATCCAAGGCCTGGAGCCGCCCCCTCCCTCAACCAGGGGAGTAAGCAGCCATGGCCTTTCCCACTTGGTTGATCCTTGTTTATTCCACCCTGCTTTCACCCGTCAGGTCTGCATAATCAAGTTGTCTGACTTCTTGCTGTGCCCGAACTGGGAAGGGCCAAGAAAGGTCCTGTGAGAGGTCAAGGGGCTGGTCCTGGAGCCGGCAAAGCCAGCCTGGGATGAGCTGCGGCTGCCAGGAGGGGTGGGTCCTGGAGACCCACTTCTGTGGGATATAAGCGATGCCCGCTGGAGAGCTTTGCAGTCTGGCCACAGGCCTGCACTTGAAAAGAGCTGGATAAACAGTGGCACACGGGGCAGCCTTCGCTGTCTCTTTCATCGAACATGGTGTGCTTTGTTTTGGCCTAGCTGTGTGAGACAAAAGCACAACTCCCGAAATCTGAGATTTTCTAATTTGACGTTTATGCTCTGAAATAGTTGAGGAAGGGTTTTCCTTCCATCTTTCTGGAAAGTTCTTCAGGGTGACAGCGGCCTTTCTGCCCAGCACAAGATTGCTCTTGGAAGTGCTGATGGAAAACAAATCAGCCATGGTGCTGTGTGTGGTTGGTTTATTTGTAAATGCAGGACAGGGCATTTTACAGTCAAACCTGGAAGTGCCCTGCCCACGTGTTCTCTGCTAACTCAGGTGCAGCTGCCTAGGGGCTCACGCCCATCTCTATGGCCAGAGCCAGGCCATGGAAGACACAGAGGAGGCGGGGCTGCTTGGCCTCTGTGATGGCCTCCTCACGGAGAGGCCGGCAGCTTTCCTCAAAATTCCTGGGCCTCTGACGTTGGTCTTGGTGTTATTTCTTTGATGGAAAGTTGGAAGGCAAGAGCTTTGTCAGTGCCTTTGACTTCTGAAAAGTCAAATCTAAAAATGTACTCAATTGATGATTTCTAAAAGTTTGTGATCCAAACCCAAAGTTTAGAGTTGGGTAGTTAGTGCTTTTAAATGAGCCATCATTGCTTCTAAAAATCAATAAGAAGTTTATTATGAGGCCTCAGTGTCTCATGAGCCCTGAATTTATTCACACCAAATGCCAGGCTTCCCCCTTGGTACTGTTCTCTCACACCCAGCTCTTCCCTCTCTTGCCCTTCTTACGTTTAATCAGTTTAATCTTACGTTTAATAGTGAGACTCGAGGCTTTCTTTTCATGACCTCTTACTTCATTTTGATCACCAGCAAACCCACAAATTCTTAAGAATATAAAGGATATCCAGGAAAAAAAAAGTTATGGCTTACCGAATCCTCACTAGTTAAGTCTAGGAGAATCCCCAGGTGCACCGGGAGGTCTACAGCCTGTGCCCTCAGAGCTGTGGAGTTGGAGGCCATCAGCCAGCTTGGTTCACTTGCTTTGAAGATGATGCTGTTGACAGGCAGGGGAGTCAGTCATCTGTGTGAGGTCGCACATCTACCCCACAGCTATTTCCATCTGCTTGGAATAGAATTTAAATCCTGCATTATCTAGCATCTTCTCCATATCTCTGGTTGACTGTTCACACGTTCATGGATCATGCCCCCCATGCCATGCCCTGGATTAAACAAACACGAATGAGAGTCTGTCCCTTCAGCAAGTGCCTGGTCCAGGAAGGAGTCAGGAGGGGTGAGGGAGACATGTCATAACACAGCAGTGTACCAAACATGAGGGCAGCTCAGAAGGGGGCCCAACCCTGATGGCGGGTGGGCAGTCGAAGCATCACTAAGGAGGAGACACTAGAACCTTGTCTTGAAGAATGAGAAAGGGGAATTTGTTGTAAAAGGGCACAGGGCTAAGAGGGACAGTGTGTGGGGGGAATGGTAGCAAGCCAGGGGCAGGGACCTGGGAACCTGGGGAGATGTGTCAGGCAAACAGAGACAGTGGTGCTGGAGGGGTTTGTTGAGTGCCCACTGTGCAAAAGTGCCAAGCCAGGGAGTGAGGCTTCCACCTGCTGCAGGCACTGTGGGGTGCACCAAGGTTCTCAACAGGACGAGTTGAGAAAAATCAAGGTTGACCTTTGTGGTCACACCTTTGTGGGCATTACTTACTGATAGGGATACTCTCTGAGACAGGTATCCTTAGCCAATGTCATCATTGTGTGAATGTATAGGGGTACTCACCTAGATGGTACAGACCCTGCACACGTGGGCTGTCATAGAATCTTAGGCCACTGTCATGTATGCCCTCCATCATTGACCAAACCATTGTCAAGCATGTGTGACGACATATTTTTGTCCCTGACTAGACTGTACTCTTCTGTGAAGAAGGAACCATGACTTTATTTCTGTAGTCCTGTAGCTTTGCTGTTCAAAGTGTCATCAAGGGCCCAGAAGATCAGCTCATCTGAGAGCTGGCTAGAATGCAGAATCCCAGACCCTTGGATTTTTTATGATTTCCCAATGATTGTATACACATTAACACTAGAGAAACACTCTTCTCAAAACTGCTTTGTGAAAGCCCATTCAAAGTTTGTTAAGTCAGATGTCATTGGAAAAATCTGTTTTAGTAACAGTTGGATTGCTATTTGGATAATTACTTCCCCAAATAGCCTGGTGAATTTTACACCCAAAATAAGCTTCAGTGGGCATCTGTTGTTCTGCTCTCCAATCCCACAGAGCCTAAGGAGGTCTGTGCACTGAGGGGTGCCCTCTGGGGACAGCAAGGGGAAGTCACCTCCAGGCAATGATCTCAAACTTAATCTTGTGTTGGTGGCTGGCCTGATGCTCCTTGTGACCTCGCCCCTAGAATGAACATTTGCACTTGAGCGGCCTGCGGAGATTTGTGGAAGAGAGGACGGAGCTGCTGGAGAAGGCCATGGAGCAGTGCTTTGCCCACATAGAGCGGCCTCTGCAAGAAGGGGTCCGGGTGGCCAGGACTTCCTACCGACGCATCCTCGGGGCATGCCTGGTGGTGAGTGACCCTTTCCATGGAAAACCTGTACTACCTGGCGAGATCAACCTGATCCCCAAGCTCTTTTCACATCACCCCCTTGCTTTTAAAAGAAACAAGGAGATAGAAGAGAGTCAGAGAGATTGAAAATTGCAGATACACCAGCACAGAGCGGGGCTGCTCGCCTGGGCATGTGGGCACCAGGGCAAGTTTGCGGTTCAGCAGGGGCAGGGTTGGAATTTAGGGTCTGAGGATCTTGCTTTGAGTGCCACCTCCAGCAAACATCTACTACCCAGACCTGGGCAAGGTGCCCAACCACTAAAGACCTTACGTTCATAAAAAGCCTCTCACTCATTTCTTCTGTAGAACTGGATGCTAAGAGCTTGCCCTACTTATCTTGAGCTATTGATGTCAGTGTGAATTACATTACACAAGAAGAAAGCATCTTGTAACCTCTTACTTGTGTGCAAATTGTGGTTTTCTTTCGTAATTAGCAGTTTGGGGTTCCTAAGGGAAAATACAAGCCTAAGGTAGTGTTGTAAGACTAGGAGGTGAAAGAGGCTCATTGTGTAGTCTGCTTGGGCTGCCATAACAAAACACCACAGACTGCACGGCGGCTTCAACAACAGACTTCCTTAGAGCAAGAGGCTGGAAGTCCAAGATCCAGGTGTTGGCTGGGTTTGTTTCTCCCAGGGCCTCTCCTTGCTCCTAGACAGCCACTTTCTCACTGTGTCCTTGCCTGGTCTTTCCTCTCTGTGCACCCTGCTGGTGTTTCTCTTCCTATGAAGACACCAGTCCTACTGAATGGGGGCCCTACCCCTTATGACCTTGCTTATTTTTAGCCTCTACCTGAAAGGCCCTGTCTCCAAATATAGTCACATTAGAGGCTAGGACTGCAATACGTGAACTTTCAGAGGAGCAATTCAGTCCACAGCACCCACTAAGAGTAAGGGGTAATGAATGACACTGCCCATGTGGCAAGAATCACAAGGATGGCTCTAGGGCCAGGAGCAGGGCACAGATGGCATGTTGTAGCTGGTCTTAATGAGATGGAAAGTGAGAAATACCTGAAAAGGTGTGTGAGGGGCTCTTCCATTTCAGTAAGCCTTTTCGCACTCTTGGTGATACTTGCTCTCCACGTGTTATTTTATGTGTGTTTCATGTAAAAGTTTGTTTTGATATCTAGATTAGTAAGAATGTGTGCTACAAGGGGGATGCAAGAAAGCAGGAGATGCTTTTAGTGTGAAACAAAGAATGAACGCTAATAAAAGTGGAGAGAGTGAATACAATCGGATGATCCTGGGGCCAGCGGGGAGGACTCTAGGGCTTGGATGGTGGAAAATGAGGGCGGGGTGCCTCCCACCTGGCTGGGGGTGTAGTGTGTGTGCGTGTGGTCATTCATTCAGCAAACATGAGAAAAAGGCTCACTCTGGACCAGACACTGCACACTATCCTAGTAAACCCTCACAACAACTCCTGTAGCCTACATCCTCATGAATATATTGGTTTTACAACCTTAGACTGAAATATTGCTGAAAGATCAATGGTACTTCCATAGACAGAGCAATGGAGGGGAAGGGTGGACATTCAGGGGAGGACACATTTGGGAGCCTTCAGATGAATCAATCTAACTGTAACTTAAATTTCTCATTTTCCAATAAGAAAAGCAAGGTAGAAAAGCTTGTTAAGAAGGAAATCAGATATTCCTCAGGGATCAAGGAAAATTATGATGAAGAAAGGTCACTGGATTGGACCACTGAGGGTATTCAGTGTTGACCATGGAGTAGACAGCCTCCAAGATGGCACCCAAAGGTCCTCACTTCCTGCTGTCCCCCTTGTGGATTTTCCTCACACACCTTGATGCAGGCTGGTCTCTGTGACCAGGAGAATTCTGCAGAGATGCCAGTGTGTGACTTCTGAGCTAGGTTATCAATGGCCACTGAAGCTTCTTTGGAGACCTCTGGGATCACTTGCTCGGGGGAGGCCAGCCTCCATGTGCCAAAGTCAAGCCACTGTGTGGAGGGGCCCAGGGAGCAATGTGCTGAGGCTTTCTACCCGGGGCTGAGAGCCAGCACTGACTTGCCAGCTGTGATCCTTAGAAGCAAATCCTCCAGCCCCGATGACTTTAACCCCAGTCATAGCTGACTGACCCTCATGGGAAGCCCTAGCCAGGAGTGGCCAGCCCAGGCATCCCAAATCCTGACCCATAGAATCACACTAAACATTTACTATTATTTTAAGCTTCTCTTTGAGGTAATTTTTGTTCTGCAGCAATAGATAGCTAAGTTACAGGGAGAGAAGTGGTTCTATCTGGTGATGGAAGAATCCAGATCTCAGAGTGGATGATCAAGAGTGTGCCCAGAAGATGAGGCACAAAGGAGAGGCACTCTGAGAAAGAGAGGGGCACCAGCCATCTTCAGGCCTCCCAGGGACCATCCCCTGTCTCACTGCTGCTTTCTCTGACCCCTGCATGCCCAAGGGGCTCCTCTTTGATAAACAGTGTGCTTTTGTGCCCAGAAATTTGAGCAGTCATCTATATACTAATGTGATATTTTACTTAGCATAGTAAAATAGCCTGAATGTCTAAAAATAAGAGAACCATAAAATGAATTATTCTTTGCCTACATGATAGTATATGGTTTAATAAAATGATTTTGGAATGCATTTAAAATTATTCTGGAATGTGCTCATGTTTTAGTTATTAAGTAGAGAGAGAATATTATACAATTGTATCATGCTATACAGCCTTTCACTTAAAACATATTCCCTCCAAACACATTTCATCGATTAAAGATGATAAAGCCCTCCACCAAAATTTTAGCAAACATTTCTTTTCTCCTTATTATTTATCACTATCTGGCTAAACTTGATTAGCTCATAGCTCTAACTATTATAATTTTTCTCTCATTTGTAAATTTGTTTCCCTGGGGAAAATATCACCAAGTTACACAAATCAAATAGTGTTTAATTAACTATTTAATAAAAAATATACCAACTTTGGACTATCCCCAGGAAATCCAAGACATATACTCACTCTCAGGTCACAACACGTTTTTTTCATTCATTTAACAAATACTTATTAAGTACCAGCTAAGTCAGTGCAGGCTTGGAGGACATAAAGATGGGCGAGACACTGTTCCTGACACTCACAAGCAGATGGTCTAGGAGCCCAGCCATGAGGCTTGCCAGATAAAGAGCTGTATGGGAGGGTTGTGGTCTCAGTGAGGCCAGGGCACATTGCTGGAGGTGTGACCTGGGTCCTCCCGGTTGTGTTTCTACTCCTTCCTGTGGTTCTTGGTAATGACCGTTAGCCAAAGGCAATGCAGTTCTGATTCTGTGACTTTCTAGTTCATGCCAACTAACTCTGCTAATTCATCGTTTAATTTTCTAGAGGAGTAAAGGGAACCAAGGTTTTCACCAGACCCTGAAAGCTGTTTGCCTGAAGAATGGCATCTATGCCTCCAGGACTCTGGCAAGAATCGACCTGAACCAAGCCATCACTCAGCCCATCTATGACCAGATTGACCCTGTTTTTGGAGGCATTTTTAGGTAAAGTGGTCTTTCATCTTGCTCCTGCATGAACAAACATCTGAAGAATGTCAAGCCAGAGTCTCAGTTTTAAGAATTGAGACTCTGGATCTGGAAGAGTAAAGAGTAGACTGTGACTTGAGGGCCGCTCTGCTCCATCTTTGGCAAAACACAAAAGCGATCTTGGTTTGGTTGACTTAACCGTCTCCCCTGGTGACCTGGGGTGGAGTGAGATGTTGCTTTCAGACTAATATTATGTTTCCCATTATTTTTCAAGTCTCTCCTACATGCAGCGGGGATGGTTTTCTTAGGGATCTGAGCCCAGGACAGGGTATTTTGATTGGAGAGCGTGGAATTAAGCAAACACATGGCCTTCGAACCTTCCCTGAATGCAAAAAGAAAAAGTGGCTCATGGAGTCTCAGACATGTCGTGTGCTCACAGACATGGCATGAGCTTCGGCCGGGGGAGGATCTCCTTGTGCCCCTCCTGCAGTTCTGACCTCTAGCTCTTTCCTCTACCAACAAAGGTTCTCCTAGCCCCCAGGGAAGCAGTCTCCCTCGTTCTTCTCCTAATTGTACCTGGTTCACCACCTGATGCTGCAGTGGCCATTCTCCTACCTTTTCTGTCCTCCTCTGTGTCCATGTCTCTGCCCCTACCTTTCTGTAAACACTTCTTGGATCATGCCAGCCCATGTTCCCCATCCTGCCCCTGGTGACAGCTCTGTAGGAGTCTCCAAATTCCTTAGGATGGCATTGAGCCATTGAGCCTTCAACTTTCCCTTCTGACCTAGCACTGCCCTGCTGCCTGGTGCCAGCCCTCTGCTGGAGCCAACGTGGGGGAAGCTGAGAGCCACCGAGAGGTCCCAGGCACGGTGCCAAGCATTCGCATGCATTATCTCATCAAATGTGCTCGATAACACCACCAAGGGGCTTCTTTCTGCCTGTTTACATAGGAACACAGGGAGATTCAGAAGAACTAACTGCAGTGGGCCCCCATTCATGAGTAGAGAGCGAGGGTTTAAAGCCCATGCTGTCTGAGTGCTCTATAATCCGCTGCTTCTTACACCTGGAATATTCTGAGATATTGTCCCCTGGGAAATAATTCCCTTTCATTTTCTTCCCCAAATCCTACCTGTCTTTGAAAGTGTAGTCCAAGTCCGATTCTTTCAAGTGAAAGCACTTCGTCATCAGGAGGACAGTGAGTTTTGAGGTTAAAGCGGTGTTCAAAGCCTGGCTCTGTCTTCTACTCGCTGTGTGACCTTAGACACGTCAGGCATCTTCTCTGAGCCCCGATTTTCTCATCAGTAAACGGGCACCCTCACACTGCCTTCTGGGTTTTTAGGCCAATGACTTGGCCCAGGACAGCGCCTGGCATGTCACAGCAATTTGGTCATTGTCAGATTTTCTCTCTCTTCTCTTTAAAGTGAATAAAAGGACACCAGCCAGTTTCACGCTTGTCTTGCTTTCTTGAAGGGCTGGGAAGCCTGCCGACTCGGCGCTGATGCCTCACATTGACGCTTTCAAGCATTCTCTGCAGGAGAAAATGGCAGAAATTGGGATAAGAAGTGGCTGGAAGTGTGAAAGCTACAAAAAACGTTTCCTGATCCAGGAGGTAAGTTCCTCATAAAGTGAAGAGCACAGTGAGTTTGGGTAGTGGCTTTCTTCCCAGGCAGGAGCTGAAGGCTGCAGGTCTCTCCCCACTTGGATCCCTGGAGTGTCCAGGGTCTGGATGTGCCTCCTAGGAGGTGCATGGACTAGGAAACATAAGGGCTCCTGGGACCTCCAGGGAGGTGTAAGACACCAGGCACACTTTGTCCCACAGTGTGGCATCTGAGGTGTAGGCTGAGGTGGTAGGGTTGACTCAGCTTCCAGGAAGAACCTTCAAAGAATCCTTAGAGGTACAAGAATGTGCCTCACCTTGTAATATTGTCACTAATTCTATCGTTTTTGCCAGTACCATGAAGTAGCGTCCAAAGCAGCAAAGCTTAAAGACTTGGTCACGTTTTTGCAGGTCGCTTGTTAGTTTTGAGAACTCTGGACTCTCGTCTGTGACTCACTTTCTTCCAGGGCCAGTCCAGATCACATGGCGAGAGTAGGAGATAGCTGATACCTCTGGCCCTCTAAAGATGGCCCCTGCTAGAACCCTGTCCATCCTTGGGTCAAACTCAGCACCTACTTACTGAGTAGTTTGTAGGGACTGGGCGCTGTGGAAGCACTCTGGGACGTTCAGAGGCTTAAGCCAGAGTTCTGTGTAGAGGAGCTCACAGCCAACCAGGACAGAGGCAGAGGAAAGTGTGGCCACACCTGGGCACACCTGACCTGCCTCTGCCAGAGAAATGTCACAGAAGGCCTGTGTCAACGTGGCTTCTCAGATAAGCGCCATCCTGGGAGGCCTGGAAGGCTACATCCTCAGAAGGAAGAGGAGGATCTACGAGTCTGTCACCAACTCCATTCAGAACGACCTGAAGCCCTATTATGAAGGTGGGGCTCCAGAGGCAGTGCTTCCTCTTCCTTTGGGGTCTTCCTGTCACTCCTTTGGCATCCTATCCCGGGGCTCCCTGTCCTGGAGCAGTCTTCCTGCATCCTAAGTCCTGTAACACTTTCCAACTACACATGGAGATCAGATAACTGCAGGGAGCAGGGGGAGGTGATCGGGGACCTTTGTCCCCGTGGTTCCCAGTTCCTCTGTCCTCCCCTTGTCTGGAACCCCCCCTCTCCTCTCCACGCTGCTGCTTGGTATCCGGCTCTTGTTCTTAACTTCCTTTAAGTGTTTGTGGGCCCGCTTTCAGGATCCTTCTTGGTTTTGTTTTGTGGGGCGTAAGTTAGTAAGCTTCTGCTCAATTCATTTATTACATATTCCAAATGATTGTTATCTAAATAGTGAGTGATGTTATTTTTTAATGTTATGCATTTTATATACATATGTATGTGTGTTTGCACATGTGTACATATCTATATATGCATGTACATATACCTATATACAAAAGCGTGCACACACACACACTTTGTTTTCTTGCTTACTTGTTTTTCTGATGCCAGAGAGTTCTGACAAGTCCTTGCTGTGGTGTGACTGTGGCTAACATCTTTTACAGAGGCAGCTCAGATCACTGGCAAAAAAGCATGTGAGAGGATGAAGGATGTCATCAGAAGAGGAGTGGAGCGGCAGGTGGCCGAGGGCATGTTTGAAAGGGCTCAAGAAAGAATGCAGCACCAGTTTCAGCAGCTGAAGGTATCTACGTCCGCAGTTGGAGTCCTAGCCCATGGGAAGTTGAGGGAACCGGTGCAGAAGGTAGAAGAAATAGTAGGCATTGGGCCCAGGTGCCGCTGGGTGCCTTCTGCCTGGTGTGCCCAGCTGGGGGTTTCAGTGCGGGGAGAAGAAGCCCCTGGCGCTCAGCGTTCCCTCCTCCCTGCCACCGAGTGCTGGCAAAGCACCTCCAGCTCTCCCCTGAGCCCTCTCCCTCCTGGGTCATCCATAGAACAACAGCCTTGATAGCTAGATGAGAGCTAAATTCTACACAGACACTAGCTAATTTACACCCACACCCCACCAGTCTCTGAGTGAGCACTACCATTGTTCTCAATTTAAATGTAAGCAAGCTCAGAGAGGTGAATCAAGAGGCCACACACACTAATGAGATGCAGAGCTGGACTTCGGGACCAGGTATCTGCTCCAGAATCTCCAACAATAGTACAATCTCAAGACAGATTTTTTAAACAAGGGAAATGACCCATCTACATAAAATGCCAATGAGTGAATGTCAGTATGCGGCTGCAGGTCAGCCAATCACAGTACCCAGCATAGATTTAGGTTGAGCCCATCCTCATTGCAAGATGTTTCCTAACAGTCTTTTGGAGCCTAAGTGCTGCTGTCAAGCACACTTGGACCACCCAGCTCTGGGTCTCCTGACTCTGCCCCTTCCCCTGAGTGATAGAATGCCTTTGTCTTAGTTCAAGCCCCTCACTGTCCACATGAGGTTCCAAGTTCTTTTGTCTCAGTCCAGGCTTGGCTGATCCTGTCTCCTGATCACCTGAGGAAGCCAGGCAGGTAAAGCATTCCCACCAGTGTCTGTCCCATTCAATTCTGGAGGTGCCTGTCTCCACAGTAAAAAGCAGGGAACCTCCTTTGGAGAAGGACAAGAGCGTCTCATTTCCCAGCAGCAGTTTGATTTCAGGCATATTAGAATATCCTCACAGTCTACACATACATGCAGGAGATTGACAGAACTCCATAGAGCCGATTTCCATTCATCAGATCCAGAGGTGCTTAAGAAAACAGTGCTCATAAAAAATGATCAGTATATTACCCAGGTACACAGTTATTTTAAATCATGGACACATAGGTTGTTAAAAATAGGTAAGGCCAAAGGAGGTTCTCATCCTTGATCCTTTTTCTAAAATTAAGAATATCATTGAACTTTTTTGGGGGGGAATACCCAGAATTGAACCCAGGTGAACCATTGAGACACATCCCCAGCCCTTTTTATTTTTTATTTTGAGACAAGACCTCACTAAGTTGCTGAGGCTGGCTTTGAACTTGTGATTCCCCTTCATCAGACTCCTGAGTTGCTGGGATTATAGGTGTGCGCCACCGCCTCATCCAGCAAGAATATCAGTTAGCTTTCAATTGTTTAAAATATTTTAATTCTAAATAAGGATGGAATTTCCTCTTACATATATTTTATGTTTGAAGATTTATTGTCTTTTTTAACAAATTACCTCTTCCCAATGTTCTTGTGACTTGGAGAATGGAGTAACAATCTGCTGAATGTGCCCAGCAGCCTCCGATGTGTTAGGTGTGTGGTTGCTGACTTGTTTTCACTGTGCAGTGAGGGGGCTACTTTGGTTTTAGGAGCTGTGGATCTCCGTCTCCCTTATCTTAAAGACAACGAAGCTGAGGCCAGAAGGGCTTATGTCACCAGCTCAAGGCTGAGCTCCTGGCCTGGCATTGAAGAAAAATATGAGTCAGGAGATCCAGGCTCAAACCTGGAATCCACCAAATTAGAGAAAGGATTCTGGTGTTTTCCAAAAGGAGGCAAGAGACAAAAGAGAATGCTTTTAGTTGATAAAAGGATTGAGAGTAGCAAGACATGACATTCCTCAGGCTGTGGGAGAGAAGAATCAGACCTGTCCCTGCACAGAGCAGGTGCCCAGTTCACAGTTATCAGTGAATAAATGCAGGAGAGGACAGTGGGGTAGTGACCAGTGTGCTCCCTCCTTTCCATCCCTGTGGCTGCTCTTCTCCCAACCCCCTTGCCTCATTAGCTCCTCATTCAGTTGCTCAGCACCAGAGGGACCCTCCCTGTGACTCTTGATAGGCAGGGAGGGACATGCAGAGACTGGAGGGAGCCCAAGGACGCGCGTCCCCGGCCCTCCAAAGTCCTTCGCCCTTGGGCCTGACTTTGGAAACCCCAGTCTGGACCTTCTCCAGCTGGAGGATGGGGTGAGGTTCCCTGTCTAGGATTCGCTTTCCCTTGGAGCACGCCCATCTAACAGACTGAATGTCCTTGTCCTGTAGAATGGGATCACGGAGAAGGTGAAGGGCAGCATTGCCACCATGCTGACTCTGGTGTCGTCCCAGGGGGATGGTCTCTACAAGGAGCTTGCAGGTAAATATGTGAAACCTCTGGCTGTGGTTGCTCCTTCCTGAGTTTAAAGAAATCTCCAGAGCAAGGAATGGAGATGATGATGCTGGTAATGGCCGGCCCTTTGCCACTTACCCCATCGAGACTTCTTGGGTGCTGTCCGTGGAATTCTCCCATTAGCCCTCAGGGATAGACATTATTGCTCCATTTTGCAGATGCAGAACTAGAGACTTGGATCAGATAATGTGCCCAAGGTTTCACAGCTTGCAAGTGGCGAGTTCCCATCCACAAAGTCGCCCTGCTCTCTCCGTAAAGCCTTTCTTTTAAGTTGATGCCTCCTTAGGAAAAACCCCATTGTCTGGTGGTAGTGGAGAAAGGTTCCTTTAAATCCCCTGGGACCTGGGGAAAGCAGTGCCAGCCATGCGTGCCCATGGCTGGCAACCACCTCCTTTGCCTCCCAGGTGTGCCACCTGGCTACCCCGTATACACTGGAGACCACAGTAAGCTGGAGAGAAAAGCACCTGTGATATTTCTAGAAAAATTAAAAATGTACCTATGCTTTGGTCCAGCAATCCTTCTTCTAGGAATTCATCCTGTCAATATCCTCCTGCATGGGCAATTTGGCATATGTTCAAGTTTATTCAGGGTGCCATTGTTTATAATAACACAGATTGGAACAACTCAAATATCTATTAATAGGACACTGGTTAAATTAGATACAAGACCAGTAGAGGAACATGCAACTGTTATAAAGAATAAAGCAGCTTTATGTGGTGTTCAGCAACATGAAATGATCTCCAAATGTATTTTAAAGAGAGAGAAAAAAAATTTAAAAATGTGTGTGGTTTGTGACAATTTGTGAAAGAAGCAAAGGAAATACATATGTATATGTCTGTGTAGGCATAAAAATCTCTTGGGACACACAAGAAATTGATGACATTGGTGGCCTCTTAGAAGGAAGGAAGACAGGGGATGGTAGAGATTTTTGCCTTTTACATTTTAAAACATGTGCACAGCTGTTTGCTAGGAAAAAAAAAAATACATAGACCTGATACTATTGATGAGTAACCGGGGTGGAAGTAGGCAGAATTATCTCCACAAGAGAAGCTAAACTGCTGCTTCTAAACCTCTGACCTGTGCTTACCTACCTTCCTGGACAACACTGTCCCCATCCCAGCTGGGTGGATGAGCCTGGATTTCACAGCCCCCAGGGAAGGAGGAACAGCACTCTCACACTGACCCACCTAGGACCTTCTGCCCAGGTCTGTTTTAAGGTCATAGTCACCTAAGTGTGTTTCCTACTTGCAGAAGGTCTTCCAACTGTCCGGTCTTGCAGACAGTTTGATGTAAATCGTGCCTGCCTAGTTGGACTCTGCTCCATTCTCTTCACCATCCACAACAAAGATGCATAGTATAGGGAGACTGTGCAGGCGCCAGGGCTCTGAAGATACCCAGACAGCTCTCAGGACTCGCCTGACTGGTGAGAATGGAGATCCGCAGATGGGACAGCCTGCACCCATTCACCAAGTGATGCCAGTTCGCACCAAGGTGCTGAGGATACAGCAGTGACCTTGACAGGACCCTCAAGGAGCTCTAGCCCAGTGGGCCGGAGGCAGGCGATACGCAAGCTAACAAGTGAAATACATGGCAGGGGAATCAGGCAGGAGAAAGGGAGGAATGCTGAGAGCAGGGGACAGGGGTCAAGAAAGGTCTCCCCAGGAACGGGACCCCTAAGTAAAGGCCCATGGGCAGGGACCCACTGGGGTGCCAGGTCTAGGTTCATCTGTTCTGGTGGCTCAGAAGACAGCAGTGGTTCAGGCTGGACACTGGGGAGCCTGCAATGAGCTGGGCCCTGGGGTAGACCTGAAGGTGGGTAGCAGGACTGGAGAGCAGCCAGCAGGAGGGAGGCCTCCAGTCAAGGCCCAGAGAGCGCCTTGGGTTCTGACTCCCCTCCTGGTCCTGGTCCCACAGCAGGTCAGCCTCAGGGTGGCTTGTCCAGGTTGCCACTGGGGGGTGGAGAACTGAGCGGGACTAGGAAGGCATTCAGGAGCAGAGGCGGAGCCAACTCCAAGGTCGGTCTGAAGCGTCTCTTCAGAGGGGACTGTGTGGGTCAGTGTCCTCCAGAAAACACAAACCCACAGGCCGCGTGTAGGGGTAGACAGAGGATTATTTTAAGGAGTTGGCTCACATAATCCTGGAGGCTCCGTGATGGGGAGGCTGACAGGCTGACGACTAGAAAGAGCTGCAGTGGAGTCCAGAGGCCATCTCTGGAGAACAGGCAGGCAGATCGGAGGTGGAGGTGGAGGCCAGGAGGTCTGCTGGGGAGCGCCTCCCGCAGGGCTGTGGGGTCTTCTGTTCTCTTGGGCCTTCTGCTGATTGGTCAAGGCCCACACGCACTGGGAGAGGTGACTGCTTTACTCAGGGTCCGCAGACTTACAAGTCAATCTCATCCCAAACAGTCTGCAGAGACTGAGATTTGACCTCGTGTCTGGACACCGTGGCCTAGGCTAGTTGACGTGAGATTCTAGGGGAGGAGAGGGAATAGATGGGGAGAGAGCACAGGCCTCACACAACAGGCCTCCCAGCAGGTGCCTGGAGACAGGGGAGGGGAGGGTTTATTGTGTCTCCTTCCAGCTGGCACTTGGCGCCCTGGACAGGCTTAGCCAGGACCCTCTGGGTCCCCCAGGGGTGGGGGGCATTATTTGGTGGTAAGGCTCTTGATTCCTCTCGGGGTGACTCACGCTGACACAGGCCTCCAGAGGGAGAATACCCGGTTTGATTCGGGTTGTTTATACCCGGAGACTGGACTGTCTGATTTCCCAGTGTCCTTCCAGATCTGCCATTCTGGGACAAGGACGGGATTCTTGGGGGATCTGTTCTCTGGAGGCACTAACCCGCCATGTGTGCCCTCTGCTCTTCCCTAGATGTCAGCAGTGAACACAGGGAGATGGAAAAGCTCCACAGGAGCCTGAGGGAGGTGGCGGAGAACGCGCAGCTGCGGAGGGGCATGCAGGACTTCCTGAGAATGTCCCCCAGCAAAGCCTCCCCCAGAACCTGACTGCTTCCTGGGATCAGCATGGAAACCAACTCCAGGGTAACCAGAATGACTTCTGTTTCCTTGAAATCCAATAAAGAACATTTCCCAACTGTTTGGGCTTTTTATACACAATAGAAACCCAATACATTGTTGCTTCTCACATAATTTTATTTTATAGCTAAAAAAAAAGTCACCATATTGACGCCCCAATGGAGTTCTAGAGCTTTAAGAAAAAGAGAATTTTGCTTCACTAAACATTGAAAAACTTAAGTATTATGAAAAAATTGCAGCATAAAACTTCAGGGACTCGATTCTATTTCCCATTTTAATAGTGGCGAGACTTTTGGGTAAGCAGGTAACATTATCCCATGGAAACAACGTGGTCTGGGAGAGAGAGGGACCCAAGACCTGGACTTCTCACTTGCAGGGTGTTGTGTTCCGGGCATGTGCTTCTCAAACATTTTGTTACTCTTCAGAGGACCCCGAAAAGCTTTTGTTTATTTGGGTTGTACATATTGATAGTAACTGCATGAAATTAAAACTAAAATAAATTTAAATATCTATACATTCAAATTTAAATGTGAATTAATTTAAAAGGACAATAATAAATCCATTACAGGTTAACATAAATAACATATTTTTGTGAAAAAAAAAAAAGATATTTTCCAAAACATTGACTGAGAAGAGTGACATTGTTAGGCACTTTTCAAATCCTTCATCTCTGGCTTCTTGGTGACGGCCGGAGCCTCCTGACTGTTCCCGCATCCCATCTGTTGTAGTATGTGTTTTGGGTTGATGGATATGAAAACTGTCTCACATAGTTGGAATGCAAAAAAAACTGTTTTTAGTTGCCCTTTTATCAAATTACTGAATATTCTTCTTTGATACTATAATCTTGCAAAATGGTTGTTTTTCTAAAGGTCAGTTTTAGTATACAGTCTGAAACCCCATCAGTCAACTTAAAAAAAAAAAAACAAAAAAAAAAACCCCACAAAACTCTGTTGCAATAAAACCCGGGGGTTTATCTTGAACTTTTTTGGATTTTTTTAACCAAAGCATGCTTTTATGGCATCAGACATTGATCATTTCGAAAATATTTGTTCATGGAGTTAAACAGGTATTTGAAATGCTGGCATGTTTCATTGTACAATACAATTTATTAATATCCCCGCCAGTCTTATCAGGAGACTCTGGAGGTTTGGGGAAGCTTTCAAGCTCATAGTAGAGAATTCAAGTTTTATAAAACTTTGTGGGTTTTCCCCTAAAAGCTCATCTTATCATTGGCAACAAGTACTATTGGTTGTTTCCCTGAAGCGATAGGTTGATTTTGTTCATTTTCAAGAAAATACTGAGCACATGCCCATGTGTCATTAACCACAGTCTGTGAGCCGTTCTTTCAGGTGAAAATGATGTTCATGAAGACAGGGTCAAGTCCAGCTCGCAGCTCAGTCCACAGGGGATTTTCGTTTGAGGTGGTGGAAGTGCTCTTGTGTGCTTCCCATTTTGTCACACAGAGTAATAAAATGGCATCAGTGGAGGGTTGGCAGTTAGTACAGTCAATAAGTTAATATGCTCTTTTCACTGTTGGTGCAATGTCAAAAGAGCCAAATAATTCCCTCTGTCATGTTGTAAGTATAGTTATGTAATGGTATATGCACTTACATAATATTACCTGAAGGTAGAATGTGACAAGTTAAGGATATGTAGTATAAGCCCTAGAGCAACCACTAAAGAACAAGAGGGACATATCTAGTGAACCACTAGGAGATACAATAAAATGTTAAAAATGTTCAAATAATCCAGAAAGAGGCAAAGAGAGTGGGGAAAAGGAATAAACATCAGAAGGTACAAATAGAAAAAAAATAGCCAGACAGTAGACTTAAATCCAATCATATAAATAATCACATTAAATGTAACTGGTCTAAAACACTAATTCAGAAGGCAGGGATTATCAGGTTAGATTATTATATTTTAAAGTAAGCCCCAACTATAAGTTATCTACAAGAAATCCACTTTAAATGGAAAAACACAAATAGGTTAAAAATAAAAGTATGGAAAATCTGTATTTTCAAAAACTGAAGAGTTTATATATTAATATCAGACAAAGCAAATTTCAGAGAAAGGACTATTATGAGGGATAAAGAGGGCTATTGCATAATGATAAAGTAGTTAATTCATCAAGAGTCATAATAATCCTAGTTGTGCAGCTAATAAAATTTCAAAGCATGAGAAGCAAAAGCCGACAGAACTTAAAAGAGAAATAGCCAAATCCACAATTATAGTTGGAAATTTCAGCACCTCCTCTTGATAATTGATAGAACAATAGAGAAACTCAGTAAGAATAGAGAAGACTTGGAGCAGAATATCAACTAACTACCTGACTGAGTTTTCAGAACATTCCACTCTACTGGGCATCAGAATTCACATTCATTTCTAGAGGACTTAGAACATTTACCAAAATAGACCGTATCCTGAGCCATAAAATAAGTCTCAATAAATTTGAAAAGATGGAAATCATACAGAGTATGTTCTCTGACCACAATGGAATTATATCAGTAATCAATAACAGAAATATGGAAAATCTTCAAATACTTGGAAACTAAAGACACTTCTAAATAACTATATAACTACATGTTATACGAATATATCTAAAACATGTAGAACTAAAATGTATGACGAGAGGAATATGGACTGTTCTTATTGGATTTATATCTCTCTCCTCCAAATTTTAGTTTGTCCAATTAGAATTTCCTCGTTGGTATCAGGAGCCAAGGAGCTAATCCAGCCAATGCTTAGAGAATTTGGGGTGGCGCTGGCAGTGGGGTTGACGTTAACTGCCTGAAGAACACAATGAAGAGCTGCCCGTCGGGAAGACCCCTCCACAGGAGAGTGGAACTGACATAACTCCCAGAGAGAAGTTCACACTGATCTGATCAGAGAAGGGAAAAGGGAATTCCACGGGCAGAGTCAAGAGGATTCACAAACAGGAGACTCAGGAACAAGGGCCGCTGGTTCTGGAAGTCAGTGTCTTGGTGCTGCTCAGTCTAGATGAAAGGCTCCATCAGGGGTGCTAAGTCATGGCAGTCCCTGACCCCCCTCTGGAAAGCGGGCAGTGGCTAGGAGAGGCAGGAAGCACGCTGGGGTCCACTTCAGTAGTAGAGGAGACCAGGAGAGAAGGTGTTATGAAGAATGTGAGGTGGGAGGGGTGCACCAGGAAAAACAATGTCTTTAAAAATAAGACTCCACAGAGGGCTGCTCCTCAGTGTGAAGCTGTTCCCACTCAGTGTTGGTGTAGGTGCTCAGTTCAGAGCATCTAACCCTGAATTCTGTTCTGTATCTATCCTCCTAACTGTTGATTGTAGTGTTGGTTCTTTTGATTATCTTGTTGAGGACTCATTCATACTTTTCAATTTGATATAAATAAAGTTTTTTTGTGCTAAAAAAAAAAACCCACAAAAACAAGACTCTAAGTGACTACACAGTATTTTCACATATAGATGTATATCCATTTAACCATTATCCTGATTTTGGACATTTAGCTGATGCTGTTTACCTCCATGGTAAACAACATAGGAGAGAACATTCTTATATGTAAAACTCTGTCCCATCTCTGATGTTTTACTCTAGGGTAAAATTTGAAGAATTCTGTTACACTGTGTGTTAGCTTTCCATCAATAACAAATAACTGAGAGAATCAACTTAAGGGAGAAGGATTATTTTGGCTCACAATTTTGGAGGTTCCAGCGTGTGATCAGGCAGACCCATTGCTTTTACCCTCAGTGGGGGCGGCAAGCACATCAAGACAGGAAGGGGGGGTACATGGTAGAGCAAGCTGCTCACCCCATAGCCAGGGAAGGGTGGGGAAGGAAGAGATGGGGATCCTTCAGTCCCTTTCAAGGGCACACCCCCAATGACCTAAAAGCCTCCCACTAAACTCCACCTCTTAAAGGTCTACCATCTCCCAACAGCACCAAGCTGGAGACCCAGCCTTCAACAAACATTCCAAAACCAAACTCAGCACAAGGTCTAAGTTTAAGAGCGTTTCAGTCTTAAATTGCTTTTCAGAAACACCACTTACTGAAAAGGGAGGAGAGTTCCACGTCACTGCTCCTTTTCTGCAATAGGTTAATGGGAAGAGTTTTAAAAGCACCATCTTTCACTGCTTGGGTTAGTGATGTTGAATATTTTTCATGTTATTTGAATTTTTTTTCTCTATTTAATTGTTCCTTCCATAGTCTTTCTCTGTCACTTTCCTTTTTACTTTAAAAAAAATCCAGACTTACAGAAAAAGTTGCAATTGTAGTAAAAAGAACTCCCGTGTCCACTGACTTGGCTGTTTAGCACCTCACACTTGCTTTGCTCTGCCATTCCTCTGGAGTATGTGCTGGGTGTGTTTGTACAACTTTTTCTGAACAATTTCCAAGGATGTTGCCTATTCCATGACCCTTTGCCCCCTAACATTTCAGCATATTCCATGAAAAAAGTATGTTCCCCTCACCTAACGCTAGTCCAACCATCAAATTCAGGAAATTCAACATCAATGCAACATCATCATCTTTATCTAAAATCCATATTCAAATGTCATCATTTATAGCCAGTTGCAGTCCATATATCCAGCCCGGAATCATAAATTGCATTTATCTGTCCCATCTCAATGATTCCTTGAATCTGGAACACATCCTCAGCCTTGATTTGTCATAACATTTTTGACACGCACAAATTTTAATAAAACATCTCTTATTGACATTTTTGAGAAATACAGACAGGCGTTTTCTAAAATTTAGATCTGTCGGATGTCTCTTCATAACCATGAAGTTTAGAACACACATCTTTGGTGGAAGCAACCATGTAAATGCCTTGGTTCCCTTTTTAATCAAAAAGTGATTAAAAAGAATTTACCGCTGCTAGCTTGACAAGGAGGGAGAAGACCAGCTGTGAGAAGGGGTGCAGTCTAATGTGGTGTGGGGGCAGGTCCACTCTGCAGGGTGGCCCTCTCCAGTCAACCAGGGGAGAATGTGCAGGGCAGGAGGTTGAAGGACATCAGGAGCAAGTCTCCCAGTCTTTCAGGCCTGAACTGTCACCTGCCCATGGCTGCCAGCGTCCAGGGGTAGCATGTCTGAAGATAATTTTAAAGTGCGGTAGAGG